GTTCTAAAAAGCCGAATCGAATCGAATGGCACTTTTGTCATCGGTTTCGGTCTCTGTTAGGGAATTGTTAGCAAGAGGATGTTCACTTTCAAGATTCACAACTCTAACCTTCAGATAGTCGTCCTATTTCAATGCTACACCCAACACCCAAAACCCAATACTCAGAGCCCGCGGGAAGGACCTAATATTGGGAGGGTGTAAGGGGGTGTTTGCAACAAAGTTCGCAAAAAAAAGCTCAAAACTTGCAAAAAATCTTCTCCTGTCGCTGAGAAAAATTGAAAATTTTCAATTTTTGGGCGGGGGGGTAACCCCCCCCCCCCCTCACTTCCGCGGGCTCTGCCAATACTCAAAAGTGTTGGGCTGGTTTTGGTCTCGGTACATGCCTAGATGCAATAGACCAAATAGTCAACGTTTTGCATACTTCATCAAACTCATCGTTGACACAATTTTCAAATGAGGTATTATACTCAATTTGTACTTGTAGTATATATATTAATAAAATCGCTCATTGCAAAATATAAAAAGATGAGTCGGATAGCGTCTGTGGTTAGATTGGTAGCAAACGCCTATTTTCAGCTACTTTATGGGAGTCATAGTTAAGCGAAGTAACCACGTAACAACGCCGCACTCATCTATTTTGTATGATCGGAGAATGTACTATTATGTTGCTAACGATTACGATTATGAAATTACAACGTGCGCACGCACTGGCATAAAACATAAGATATCAATCAAATTATAATTGTTTTGCTGGTTTATGCACGGAAATTAGCTCGACAGTGTTAGAAATAATATTATTTTTGTAATGTTTTAAGTCTATCATAAATACAGTGACAAGGAATAATGATGAATTTACGAGGCTTATTATACCTTAAATCAAAATAACCTATAAGAAAGAGAACGAGTGAATCATTGAAAAACTATGTTAATAAAAATGTGGGGAGAAGAAGTAGTGACTCAAAAGAAAAAAAGAAAATGTGGATATTCTCTATGCTGCCGCTTATTTCTTCTCTTTTTCGAAGGAATAAGAAAGAACTTTTCAGCCTTTCCAATGATTAACAGTCAGCAAGATATAATGAGAATATGATGTTTACCCACCTACTGAAATGCAAAAAAAGAAGGTGAAGGAGCATTAGTATCGATCAATCGACCCATTCGATGAACAACAGGCTTAAATAGTTGCCGAAAATCTTAAAGTATCAGTGTGTCATCAGTAAGAAATACTTTGTGATATTTTCTTTTTTTATCAACAAAAAAGAAAATCAGGCTATTTCTACATATTTAAAGATAAGTGCCTAAATAACAAGTTTTAGTCAACCATGTCATATTATTTCATTAATAAGATTTTTATTCGACTTTTTAAAAAAACCCACTACGCATAGGAAAAATTCAAAAGAAACAAACCTTTTATGTAAACATATAATCATGACTGCATGAAGAGAATGAGAATTTTCCCACTGCGACACATTTATAAAATGCACGTCTTATGTGCTGTTGCTACACCAAATTTCAACAGTAGTTTCAATCAACTTTACGTAGACGATCTAACATGAGCAACCAGCAAATAAGCGGATTTATTCAGCTTATAACATGTATACCTGCAACAGATCAACAAAGTAGTGATCCTGCATATATTCCACAGCTAAACATTAATCCGACAGCTACAGCTACGTTAGCCGAAGAGTTCGAATCACCCATATCAATTTTCGTTTATATGGGTAATTTAGGTGCTGGCAAAAGTAAATTAGCTTCATTAACTGTAGCTTCATTACAGAAAAATGACATTGATAATTCATTGTTACCGTTCAAAAGTGGTGATAATCCTAGAGGTGTGACTAATGGCGTCTGGATGTGGAGTAAACCTTTAAAGGATCCGAATAGAAGGCGAGGCTCAATATTAATATTGGATTGTGAAGGTATGGGAGGTAATGATGTAACAGTTAACAATAATCTTTATTTGTTTTGCATGATCGTGAGCTCTGTGTTGGCTCTGGTTCTTCGGCCAGCTCGAATTGACTGTGTTCAATGCAACCGTTTACACGATGAGTTACAACGATTTGTAAATATGCAATCACCATGCGTGTTACCGCACACTTATCTTGTACCGTTAGAGTTACCAGTTCTTAAATGTGACAATCAAGAGGTCAATTCAGATGAATGGATCAACATAATATTCACCATAAATGAGTCCGACAATACTTTAACCATGGCGCAACGTGATGAATTGCAACGGAAGTATCATTTTATTCGTACTATGTTGCCGAGCATTGATGTTGTTAATTTTGACTATTTGCCAAATGAACTGAAGAGCAATAATATGACCTTGGGAGACATGAAAAATATATTGAGAAAACAATCATCCAAGTGTTACAATGATTCTTTATTAAACATGCTAAGTAAGTTTCTAGAAACTCAACAGAAACGATTACCAGGCAGTAATGTTATTCCAGCGTTGCTGATTCGTCCAGCTGAATTGGCACTTTTCATGACTGATTTAATTCACGTCATAAACCAAGCTAGAGACCCTAATCCCGATGAACTGATTGGTCGATGCTTACTAAAACGCTTCTCAGATGAAATTATCAAAACTGAAGCGGAATTTCAAGAAAAATTCTTCGCGAAAGTTGCATCATATGCTAAAAGTAAGATAGACGAGAAGGAGACGAAATTCAATCCGGATGACGTTAAAACTGACCTTGAACGAGAACGTCAAAATTTAATTAAAAATTACATAGAAAAAATGTGGGATTTAGCCAAAAATAGAATCTATACTTCGAACTCGATATTGCTGTCATCACAAAGTTTACGAAACTGTATTGAAGAGGCGCAAGTTAGATTGAATTCCTATAGAGATCCAGAAGAATTGATCAACAAGATCAGAGCTATTTACAACGAAACTACTGACGAAGCGACACAAAGGATACAGAGCAGTGCTCTTTCCGAAGAAACCAGACAAAAATTGCAGACACTTACCGAACGTATCTGCAGAGAAAATAATATCAATAAAGCCATCGAAAAAACTGAGCTGAAATGTGACGTAGATCGATGTGAAAAATGTGGTCGTCAGGCTGCTACTATTAGCATTGTTCATAAATGTTCCAATATAAAACAAGGTAATTACTATCGTTACGACGAACATCAGATGGTCTGTGATGCATGCAGACAATTGGCAAAGATCAATGTAACAACAGTAAATTGTGCGTTATGTGGTGCATCACGAATTATTAGATCGTTCATTAATTGAATTGAAATACTTTTTCAACAGTTCTTCACTTCATTGAGATTGTCCGCTTTTTATGTTGTTCAACTTTGCTACGTAGGACTGTTCAGTCAGTAATATAATTTCATTTTTACTCATCGATAACAAACGAGAAAAATCTGCTGTCATTTAATCTGTAGTGTATTCTGTTTATTTAGTGAAATAAAATCAGTTTTTCGTGTCCACTAAATAGAATATCATCGTTCAAGCAAGAGTTACTCTGTTTTCAGAACTCTACTATGTGCTACTCGTTGAAGGGATTTGAAAATTATTCGTGTAAGAAATTACATTTGATGTAGTAAAGATAATTACTTCTCAAAACAGATATTGCGAACATGTAGTTAACTGAATCTATTGAATAGTTCAGATAATGATACTTTGTATCAACAAGTCCCCATATTCATCTTGCTTGTTAATTCTGTTAATCGTCAGTAGAACAATAATTTGATATATCTTTACGAATCTTGTCTTAATCCTTAAAAATTTACTATCGAACGCAAAAAATTGCATTCTTTTGCTTCAGTTGTAACAGCTGTCAGGGTCCCTCATAAACGAAACGGGTTCACGTATTTCACTTATCCACAGGTTCATCGAATACATATCGAGTGGTTAATTTCAGTTGACACTAAATTACTTTGCCATGTAATAAACCACTATACTCATAATATGACTCCAATCTTTATAAAATTGAGAACGAGAATAGCAGTAATATCACGTAAGAACATAAAAATGGCTACACTGAACAATTCGCCACTAGCTAAATTCAGTTCAATAAAAAAAAGAATATTGATCAGAATTTCTGATTGATTCAGCGTATTCTAGGTAAGTTTGCAAATACTCACTTTTAATCAGTCTGACTCACATTGATGTCATTTCAAAATCAGCTCTACTAATGAAAAACTCGCATAAGATCGTGACGAGTTGATGGTGTCGATAAAGATATGGGCGTGTAAGTTTGTATTCACAATCATGTCTGCCTACCCACCGACACCCTCATATTCAAGTTTCACGGAAGAAGTACTGCTTGAAAATCTCCATGAATTTCCATTACAGACTATGTCAATAGTGTTAATCAGTTAATTAAACAATGAGCTAATTAGGTGATTCTTTGCCACTTTTTGATTAGTTAATCATCCATGATCTATTACAAACTCTGATAAATTGACTGCACACATATCCTATATTATGACAGACAATTTACTATTGAACTAGCGATTATGAATCATTAAAATCTGATGAAAATATATTCATGACTTCCTAATTGAAGTTACTGAGCGCCGGGGTAACGTAACGGTTAAACGAGGCTGAAATTATGGTTGGCCGTCATAATGCCGAAAGGGAAAATGTCGAAAAAATTATATTGGCATGAAACATTGTCAGTTAATATTTTAGAGAATTGTAAATAATATGGAAATAAACAATTACAATTAACAAAAAATAATGATACAAGTTTAAATCTTTCTCAAGATCTATCTCAAGCTTCTTCAACATCTACAACTCAACAACAATCTACAGGAATATCAGGTTAGTTTTTTTTATGTAACTTGGATTTTTTCTGATGTTGAAAGATTATATTGTTGTCGAATATTTATGTTACAGAAAATAAAAAAGTATGAAATTATCCGTCGTTTTTATTTTTAATAAATGTTTTAAAAGAATTTGATATTGAAAGAAATGTTCATTCCGTATTTCGTTATAGTGTCAAAAGACTAAAAAGTCCAGATATTATCTAGGGGTAACTGCAAGTCTTTTTTAGAAACATTTTTTTCAAAAAAGAGTGTTGGGAATATGATTTTCGGATCCCTTTTCTCGAGCATTTATTTACATGCTTTTTTAATATCTATATCCATTGTGAATAGAATTTCTTAATTAGTTATTTGTTTTAATTTAGATGTGGTAAATCAAATGGACCATCATGATTTTATTCTAAATACATTAAATGAATGGTGCGAAAAGAATTTGAAATTGAACAATAAGACCTTAATTGAGAATGAAGATTTTAAACTTCTACTTACACAAGGTGCGTCAGAAGGTGTTTGTATTATATGTTCATATCAAGTAAAATTTCATCTTACACGTGTTCGTCATCATTTTTCGTTAAGTAACTATTACAAACATTTTAAGTCGAATAAATGTGCAATGATTAAGAAAAAAAAATGATTAATCTTAATAATGATAATCGATTAAATATAAATAGTGATCATGATTCATCCGATGATGAAATATCAGACGCTGCTGGTTCACCTCAACGAAAACGATTAAAAATATGAACAGTTTTTTTATTATTATGAATAGTTGCAAAAAATTGTTTTTTTAGTTTTGATCAAATTTTATCAATTAACTTAAAACGTTTTTTTTACTCATGATATTTATAAATCTTTCACATCTTTTATGTATATGAATAATAATATTTGTAATAAAATTAGAATATATGAAAAGTTTATTCAATAAATAATTAATAAACTTAAACTTGATTTATAGAGAGATTATATACCATCCTATTTCAACGAACAACAAGGATTTTGATGTTTTGTTCTAGACTAATTTCTCTATTCCATGATAAGTATCATCAATTGATGATTTTTTTTCCATGTGTTCAGTTGATTTTTCTTTTCTTACAATCATTCGTTATACTTCGCGAAGACAATGGCCATCATATGATTAGCGAACTCCCAACGATTGACGGATAATGGAAAAAAAAGTTGTCTACCAAATTTAGTTATGTTTCTAAGGAATGTGAATTAATTTTGTATTTTCTTCTTACGATCCAATTAATTCATCTTTTCTATTTTTCTCATCTCATTTTTTTGTCTTCAGATAAACATATCAATATAAGTATTCACGTGACATTCAAAGGAGAAAAGTTTTTTGAGTTGATTCAACAGAAATGTGGTCAAGCCTTTAAAGAATTAATGGAAATACTTTCAATCAATACAGTATATAAACTGCTTTTGGTTGAAGATGACATTCTACCTGTTTTCCAGAAAAAATATCGAGAATTAGAGAAAGTAACACAACGAGCATGTCTTCATCTTGATGATGGGACAATTATGCTCAAGCCTAGTTTACGTATGGATTTCGATCGTTTTATCCGATCTCTTCATGATATAAACGATAAACAAAAAGAACAGAAAGAAATAGTGAAAAAAACTGAAGATATTATTTCTTTATTTAAGAATTTAGTTAAGTCATATCAATTCAATGAAAGTGTTGATACACAACAGAGCCCCAAGCAGGCCACGTCTTCGAGGCCTGCAGGTCTGTCAGCATTTTATAGCTGAAACAAAAATGATAAGAGACTAGAAACTAGAGGTACATACAGATCAACGAGTGTACTTTTATACCTGGAGATAACCGGTCTATCATAGGCATAGACCACGATTTTCGGAGCAGTGAAACTGGCAAGCTCAGACAGGCCAACAGGCCAAAAATTGCTTGAACCTCTGATAAGTAGTGGTCCGAAATTTTCGGTCTTTGTCTATGACCGGTCGGTTACCTCCAGGTATAAAAGTACACTCGTTGACCTGTATGTACTTCTAGTTTCTAGTCTCTCATCATTTTTGTTTTAGCTATAAAATGTTGACAGGCCTACAGACCTCGAAGACGTGGCCTGCTTGGGGCTCTGATACACAAGATAATTATTCTTTTCTGTTCGCTTTTATGGAAAATATTTGCAATAATATTTCAAAAAATAAGAATAATTATCGATACAGTGATGTTGCGCAACAATTTGTACAATCATTGTATATCTTAGGAGGACGAAACTCTTGCGAGTTTGTACGGTTGAACTTATCCGGCGCACTTCCATCATTATCTACCTTAAACCTTAGTTTTGAGAAAGCTGATGCGTGCATTGGTGAAGCCGGGTTTCGATATGATGCACTTAATCACCATCATAATTCTTTAAACTATCAGATTGCCGTTTGTTCAGAAGACTCGACAGCAGTCGTAAAGAAAGTTAGTTATAATGCTGCTACTAACACATTTGGTGGATTCGCGACTTCACTCGAAAATGGTATTCTTAAATCTGGTTACGTTAAGACACGTTATTTTGATGTGTTAAAAGAATGGTTCGAGAATAAAGATAAGTGAAACTATTTAAATGTTCATATGATGCAACTGCTCATTGAATCTAAACCATATACCTCATCATTCCTGCTTGCCGCATATGGGACTAGTAACACATTTAAAGCCATTGATATTCTTAATCGATGGATATGGATTTTTGAAAAGTCTCAAGAGTCAAACGTTCGTATTGTTGCTTTTTCTACGGATTGCGATCCGAGATACTTGTTAGCAAAGCGTTTGACTACAGGTTTTTTTTCAAAACTTACTAATACTCCGTTATATAATCATAACAATATATTAAAGATCCATTTACCAAACGACTGGTCAGGATGGTTTTTTATGCCTCCTCATCAAGTTTTTTTTTGTTTTCAAGATTCCATACATTTATGTGCTAAACTCCGTAATCGTATGCTTTCGGAAACAGCATCACTATTGATTGGGAATGGAGAAGTTTCCATTCAAGTACTGAATGAACTTATAGAAACTAAATCAAAGTTTGTACATGGACTTGTAAAAACTGATATAAAGGCGAGCTACAGGCAAAACTATAAGTCTTGCCACAAAATCCTACGTGATGGAGTAATAAATGCTCTTGAAGACATTGATGATTCTTTAGCCACTCAAATTTATTTGCGCCTCTTGTGTAGTGTATCACTCGCCTATATTAATCATAATACATCGATAATCGATTGCATCTATCATAGTTGGCTAGCAGTCTTTATATGCTGTATATGGCAAACCTGGCTGCATTTAGTACATAAAGAAGACATTTCAGAATCTCATTCTCAAATGTCAAAAGAGAATTTATTTATTACTGCTCCTGCTCATTTGTCTATCGAAATGAATGCTCATAGCCTAGTTGCAATTTGCTTACTTGTGCATCAGCAAGATTTGCCCATTTCTGCTCTTAGGTTTTCAAATTATCACTCATAGTCTTGCGAAGCAACTTTTCGTAACTCCAGATCAATGTCAGGTGTTTTTTCTACAGTAGTTAATTTTATTACTGAACAGCTTCTTAAACGAGCTGGTAAACTATCAGTACTTGCTGATATACAAAACCAGAGTGAATCTGGTCAGTTAAGCTGTTCTTTACAGTTTCCTAAGTATCACAAGCGATGTCGACAAAGTGCTGCTTCTAATAACGTAGTTCTGAGTGCGTCTATCCATCTTCTCACTTGTCATAATATTAAAAAAAAACAATTTGTCAAGCATATGATGATGCTTATCATCTACTATCAAAGCTTGATGTTCATATCGCTTTGAAGAAAGCAAAAAAAACTGAAATACTTCAAGTGCGCTCATTTGTACGAGCTCAGTTTGATAGAAAATTTAAAAAGGTCTCGTACGATGATGATGAATCGTATTTATCTGATAATGATGAATCAAGTTATAAATTCAGATCGGATATCAATACTGCAGCGGACTTAGACGATGATAGTTCATGTGATGATGAAACTGAAAATATGTCTTCAATTTCAGCAAGTGGTAAATCTCAGTTTCATGGAATGAGAGTGTGCGACACTATTCCTTCCTCACTTGCGAAGTCCTACTTTCGTGTTGAACTTGATGGAAAAAAAATATATTCACAAACAGACAGCCAGCTGGCTGTTAACAGATACTAATAATCGTTTGTCAGCTGATCGACTTAGACGAGTTCAACAAAGCAGTTCTTAGATTAATAAAAAGCTTGTAAGAAATACTTAGGAATATTTTGACATGATCAACTTCTGCTATTTTTTATTGCTTCATGTTTCTTTTATTGATATTTCATAGTTCGCTTTTCCTCTATGTGATAAAAAACCAAAATTCTCTAATGTCTCAGTTGACTTGATACCAATCTTATTACAAGATGTATCTAAACTTCACATATCAATAGATGTTTTTTTTAAAATTCACTCTGGTATTTTTCAGGGCTTATAATTGCCTGTCAAATTCATGGTAATGAATATCAAAGAGAAATAAAGCAGTGAACACGGGTTTACCGAAAGAGGTTCACATGAAAAGAAAATAGTAGGCACGGGTTTTCCGAAAAATGCCTAAAAATCAATGTATGGATGCGGGTTTACCGAGTATCATCCGAAGCAAAAATAGGTATAAATAGGCACGGGTATTCCGTATAAAACTTGCCTAAATTGTTTCAATCCATTTTGAATTTTTAAATTAAAACCACGCATAGCAAACAAATAAGGATGCGGGTTTTCCGAATACACATCCACCTCTTCGCAGCAGAATGGGCTCTACGTGCCGAAGAGGAGAAACACTGCCTGAAAGCAGTGGCCAACAATCCTGCATCTTTTGGTCAATCGCAAAATTAAGAAATAAAAGAGTGATGTTAATAAATACAGTAAATTAAAGAAAGTTGGATCTTCTGATTTATTGTTTTATAGTTTTCTGTTATTTTCAGATACAATGAGGAGCCCGCAGATATGGTGAGAATTCCGGAAATTTTTTGGAGAATCCTTTGGAAATCCTGGAAATCTCGGGAATCCGGAATCCACCGTTTCCCCCTTGGTGAACGGAGTTGTGTGAGAGCACCCCGATATGTTTCTGCCCTTAACTGTTAAGCAAGGTTTCTGACCCTATTTAAAAAACGGTATACATGATGTTGTAGAGCGCGTTCCGCTCTACAAAACCATGTATCTCAGATTCCAGCAGAATGTAGCCATTTTTAGATAAAGACGCCTGCGTTTTTAGCGCATTTACTTGAGTAAATCATTGACAAATGGCTTCAAGTGATTTTAAACTATCCTATCTTGTAGAGCTAATTGAGTTGAACATTTCAGTATACTTTTTTTCAAGAAAAGTCTAAAAATAACTGCGCTAGGGCTAAAATACCGAAAAACCTAAGGTATTTTTAATTAAAAACTAGTTTTAGTATTTTCGCTATAATACATTTTCTTACTTATGAATTTTAATTTTGTTTTATACTAAAATGATCAGCAAAACAAGTTCTACAAAACTAGATGAAATTTTTAAAAAATTGGATACTTGGTGTTTTTTCTGGTTGAGTTCCGATGGAACAACCCCATAAGTGCTTTTTTGAGCGTCCGAGACTCGTTTTACTTCTCCAAAATGAGATTTTGTTTTGACGCGGTCGAATGCGTTATTCAATCGTTGTTATGTTGCATTTAAGTCAGAGTGATGTAATGAAAAAGAAAATCAAAAAAGTATAAGTAAACAACGATGCATTTGTTCTGCACATAGAGAAAAGAGAAAATCGACGCTTTTATTAATGCAGAGACGATGCTTGTTGCCATAGTAGTCTTTTTTCCTTTTCTCACCGAACTGCAAGTACATTTAATTGCTCGATATAAAGCCTTCATAGGCACAGATATTTTGCCTTGTCATCCCGGTGAAAGTTAAAATAGAAACGTACATGCTTTTTCTCCTCCTTTTCCATAGTCTCATGAGATTGCTTAACTTTGCAAGACAATATTGAGAGTTCTGTTTTTCTATGCACGTTGCTAAGCGAAAATTTTCTTTACGTTCTTCGTTCTTTTGACATTGCCTGTGTAAGTAGTGGAAATTTATGAGCGTGAAAGAGAAAAAAGATTGTACTTTTATTCAGCATGATGACTAAGAAATATAAATGAATTAAAATGACATAGAAATAATAGAAAATGAGAGTCGTATAAAAGTGAGTACAATTAAAATGGTGAGCTTAAAATTCTGTTTTTCAAAATCAAAAGCAAGAAAAAAATGTCAACAGTTAGTTCTACTGGAGTGTTGGTCACATTGGAACAAGCACATGGCAGTGTAATGATATTTACATGGATTGTTTTTGCTTCGACAGGAATTTTATTTGCGCGTTATGGTCATCTTTTGCATTTTGGTGGAAAACGCAAAATATTAGGTGATGATATTTGGTTTCAATTTCATCGAGCTATTCTCATAGTAGCTGCTATTACGACACTGACCGGTTTTATACTCGTTCTAGCTAAAGGGGACAATGAAACAGTGTCAAAAAACAGAGATAAAACTCGTTTAACAGTTCATTCAGTATTAGGCTATATTATTGTAGCGTCTGTCATAGTACAAGTTGCAATGGGACTATTTCGTTGTGGTCCTCAGAGTCCCTCTCGTTATATTTTCAACCGCATTCATCGAGCTGTTGGCATAATACCCTTTACATTTTCCATACCTGCCATGTTCTTGGTTGCATCGGTGCTTCAAAACAATACGACAGGTCTCATGGTTATTCTTGCACTTTGGACTGGTTGGGTTGTTATCCTCGTCATTGTATTGGAAATTATAAAACATCGGTGTCAAGCAACTAGTGCAGAGAAAAACGAGACGACTCAACCTAGTAAATTCAATACTTTGAAATTGTTTTTATTTCTCGCAAATTTTCTTGTTGCTTTAAGTCTTGCTATTCCTCTTATTGTCATCGTATGGCAACAATAGAGGCTCATAGGTTTTAATAAAATTTCTTATAGTCGATACTATAACTGTATACTACAATTATTTTCTTACATGCACGAGTGATTTGAGTTCACTGAGTTTGTCAGTTGATAATACAATGCTGGGATGAAAAATTTTCGGCTGAATTTTATGTTAATCTATTAGTTCGTACTCATAGATTGTGGTTAAGAGCTTTGTATATCATGGGAGATCAATTTTGAGTATTAATTATCGGTAAGGAAGTTACTTTTGTCCCATGTGATCATTCTTTGTGATCTGTTCTATATTTGATTGATATCTGTTTTATAATGGTGAAGTAATTGTTGATTGTCAAATGTTCTTTATATTCTTGATAAATTTTGATATTTAGAAGTTATCAATTGCGCCCATGTGTGACAACTGGCATGAGTAAAGTCACTTTCATTTTTAATCAGAGACACTAACAGCGTTTTCCGTGAAAATAAAGTTGCAACTCGTTTTTTTTTGTCATTGCGGATGCTAATAACTACTACTTGTGCGCAATCATTGAAGTTCCAACGTGCATATTTACATCGTCGAATAGATGAGAAACAAATATATGGTAATTCAACAATCTGCTACAGCAATGAAATAGATCATAGATCCTAACACGGAATATCATCTCATTAGTTTAGGTTTCAGATCGATATTCTCACACATGAGTGAAAAAAGCGTCATCTAAGAGCCTACTGTGCCAGGGGCGGCGGAGCGTCATTAAGCTAGGTGAGACTCATAATGTTTTTTCTACCGTGGAATTTTATGAACTCATCAATCAGAAAATAAGTCTTCTTTTTACTGGACTGCAGTAAAAATAAAAATGGTCAGTATAAAAAAGATGATTGGAAAATACCAAAAAAGACTTTTTTTGCTCCTGTTTTGATGCAAGAATAAAAAATAAGAATATTCAGTACAAAGGTAAGTGAGGCTGAGCCTCATCTTATGAAACCTAGGTGAGGCTCAAGCCTCATGGGTCTCAATGGCTCCGCCGCCACTGTTCTGTGCTATATTTTTCGAATTTCAACTTATTAATTCAAATTTTTCGTGCTAGAGATGTCAACAGAAACAAGTGATAATTTGATTGATACCTATATTAAAAGAATTCATAGTCATAGAAATTATAATATTATAATTCCTCGCTTTCGATTGACCGCCAACGTACAGTGATTGCACTTTAGGTTAATGTTCTTGAATATCTAATTGATCATGCATGAAAAAAGATGAAGTTTTTTATCTGATTAATACGCTAAACACCGGATGCGCACACAGTGGACTAGACGAAATTAAATCCGATTCCATCGAATCGCAGATTTCAAAAGTTTCTGCTCCTATTACTCGATCGAAATATTAATGAAACAAATATTGAATACATTCATTCAATAGATCAACTGAAGCGAATCGTTAATACTGTAAACATATTTATTGATTTAGACAAATGTGTCGATTTTCTTACGGAAATCAATGAGTTAAAAGTTCTTATGATAGTTTCGGATGTACTTGGTGAACGTTTAGTACCTTTCATTCATGATTTCTCACAAATAGAAGCAATCTATATCGTTAGTGACGATAAATTCAAATATGGACACCGATGGACAACTAATTGGTCTAAAGTGAAAGGAATTCTCACAAAAATTGATCGTATTTGTAAATCGTTGAAACAATATTCAAAGCAATGTAGTCAAGACTCAACTTCTATTAGTTTCATTTCGACGGACGAGACCGTAATGAACAAAAATTTGAACCAACTTGGGGCATCATTTATATATACACAATTGCTAAAGGAAATTCTTCTAGAACTAAACTATGCTGAACAGTCAATAAGAGAATTTACTGATTATTGTTGTGCAAAACAAGAAAACTATAGCTTAAATTTGACTGTTATTGAAGAATTTCAGCAAAACTATTCACTTGAAACCGCTATCTGGTTGTATTCGAGTGCCTCCTTCATCTGTGAAATGGTCAATCACGCTCTTCGAACTCAAGAAGTAAACACTATACTTAAAATTGGATTTTTTATTAGAGATCTGCATCAACAACTTGATCAATTACACTCTGAGCAGTTCGTCATATGAAGATTTCGAGAGACTCCAAAAATCAAAAGGTGATCTCATGCCTTTTAACAGCTTTTTGCCTGCAAGTCAAGATGTTGATGCTGCTTTCGCATTTGCCAAGAGCAATCAGTGCGCTAACCTTAGAATCGGAATTCTATTCAAAATAACTATTGATATGTCGAACTCAATGACCCGATTCGCTGACATTAAGAATTTCACTCAAATTTACTGATGAACACGAAATACTTTTCTCGATACACACTATATGTCGGATTGGTGACATTGAGCCATTTGACAACAGCAGTACACTATACCAAGCAAATCTTCAATTGACAAGAGACAATGATGAACTATTGTATGCACTTACGGAGCGTATGAAAGATTAAATTCATGGATCAAATGCGTGGTGTCGTTTAGGAAGTCTATTGCTTAGACTCGGGCAGCCCAAAAAAGTTGAAGAAATATATAACGCACTACTCAATGCAGTACAGGACGATCAAGAAAAATCATTATTGTACAATCAACTAGGGCTTGTTAAGAATCATCACGGCGCAAATGGAAAAGCGTTGTCATTTTTCAAAAAATCATGTGAAATTAAGCAGATATTGCTGCATTCAAATCATCCTGATTTAGCTACTCTATACAACAATATCGCTTCGAGTTACAATAGCATGGGAGATTATCACAATGCATTAGTATTTTACGAAAAATCACATGAAATCTATCAAAAAAACATTGCCTCCTAATCATTCTGATTTAGCTAATTCACATGGTAGTATCGGCTCAATCTATGAAAAAATAGGAAAGTACTCCGAAGCACTATCGTCTCACGAGAAATACCTTGAAATCTGTCTCTGTGAATCAGATGATAGCTCAAAATAGTTTTTTTTATCACTGCTTAGTTGGATAGAATTTCAAAAATTTGAAACGCAATATTTGGATGTATGAAATATCTTCAGATAATGTCAAAAATGATTAACGTGATGATCTCACTATGTTTGAGTTCGTTCAAGATAATTCAAGTTAGCGATTAGATATTGTCGTGAACGTTGCTAGCATCGATCCTTCAACTTATTGGCTCTAAATCCAAACAAAGAAAACTTCCTTTTTTTTCAGTAATCCCGAAGGCTAAAACATGTTTGAATGGAAGGTTGGCTATCGCTGTTTTGTTTTTCTGTCAACACTAGAGATAAATAAATATGCGCACTACAAAATAAAACTGGCATCATGGCGAGAAAAATTATCTTCGTCGTTTAGCCTAGATTGCTGTTAGCAAATACACAAAAGAGCACGAAAGATTATCGGAGCCCCACATGCAAAGTCAACTCTTCTTTTATAGGCAGAAACTGAGCTATTGATTAATCAGCACTAACGTATATATTCTATTTCTCAGTTTATTTGTATATTGCGAACTACTAATCAATAAATAAGAAGAAGAAGCAGCTTTAATACACTAATCCTGAATATTCTATCCAACTTGTTGATTCTCCATAAGGAATTATCTGAATTTTAGGCCATCGGCGGAAATTCGTCAACTCTAGAGTATCGTTCGGTACCGACATTAAATTTCATCAATGAGCCGAGAAGAAAGTGAACATTCTAAAAAATGAAATCGACTGGATGTGCAGTTGACTGTTAGATGTGTGCAAATATTGAAACCATTATCATCTACAACAATCAAACAACCACATGTATTACTTTCGATCGAGGTACAGTTGAGTTGTATCATATACTCTACACTATAAACTTTGACACTGAATAAAATTTGAGGTGGGTGTGAGCGTGCATGTGTATTCCTCACGTACATGCACGCACCCGCCCACACGCATATTGAACTTTTTCTTGCCATTAAATTCGCTTTTGAAAAATTTCTTTAGATTTTTATTGGCCAAAATATTTCATCAATTAAAACGATTATAGAAATCAAAACAAAGAAGTAGTAGTTTTCGTCAATTCGAAACTATTCTTTTTATTCAACAAGAATTAGAGGAGTGACCAGTCGATGGACTGACTTCTAAGAGAAAACCATGGACTGGTTTTCTTCGCTCCGGTTCATTGAGACCATTGATCGGTTCTTATTACATCGATTTAAATCATTGTTTGCATCATTGGAAACGGCATTTTTTGATGAAACATGCCAAAATATTATGAGAATGTAATGTTTTATATTTTTATTTTTTAAGTCTGTAGGACAGAAGGTTACTATTCTTGATTAGTACACAATAAAAATCATAAAACTTAGTGAGCGCAGTGTAAACATAAAATACCCATTTGAGTTTGACGAAATCCGTCTCCAGTATTAATAATACGATGACATTTCGCACAGACGAAACAATCGGCGTGAAATTGTTTTCCTTGAAAAGTTGAATATGCACCAATTATAGGTTTTAAACACCTTGAACACCGCCGTGCAAAATGTTCTTTGTAACATTGAGCACAACAAGGCTTTGAATTATGTGTCTGAAATTGAATTTCATCCATAACTTTACCACATTGACCACAACAAAAACAATCTGGATGATATTCTCTTCCATCATAAACTATTGATCTTCCTACAGATATTGCTTGTAAGCATTTAGCACAACGTGCTGCAACATACTTGTCATAACATTGAATGCAATAAGGGTTCGAATTGTGTGTCGGAAATTCCGCATCGCCCATTGCTTTACTACACTGAGTACATCGAAAGCAGCCCAGATGATATTTTTTTCCACGGTAACTCGTATATTTTTCATTTGAAATTGGTCTGTGACATTCTGTGCATTTTGGTGAAAAATATGTAGTATAACATTCAATACAACAAGGCTTTGAATTTTCTACATAAAATTCTGAATCAGCTATAATTTTATCACATTGAGCACAGCGAAAACAATCTGGATGGTAATTTTTTCCACGGTAACTTTTATATCTTTCGGTTGCAATTGGTCTGCGACATTCTGTGCATTTTAGTGCAAAACGTGCATTGTAACATTCATTACAACAAGGCTTTGAGTCTTCTGTATGATATGCTGAATCAGTTATACATTTACCACATTTACCACAAAGCAAACGATCTGTACGAACATAAGATATATTAGGTCAGGATTCAAGTATTTCCTTAATAGATTCGCTTCTAACAACTTTCCAAGTCTATAACTTTTCAGCTTCCTGCAATACTTCGATTGATGAGAAAACCTGTATTACTCCCCGATTCATCAGTTTGTTTATATAAACTAGAGATTCTTTTATTCCTTTCATTACTGTACATGGACAAATCGTGTATATAGGTCATGGAAAATTATTTTTCGTTTGCTACCAATGTATAAGTGAAGGATAAATTATTTTGCCTTCTTCTCTATGTAACCACCCAATGATTTTTTTTCCTTTTGGTAGTTCAAGGCTAAAAAAGATAGTTTACTTCCGCTCTTTGTAAAATCATGTAACAACAATTTCTCATTCGGTCCGCTTTTCGTGTATCAGATATTTTCTTATGGAATTGAAATAGCATCAAAAGGTGTCACTAAAAGCGTCAAGATTGAGTCCTTTTTGAACATTCGTTTACACTCGAATATACTATTCACATTGTCTCCACGTTTACTTTTATTTGTTTCGATTTTTTTCTCAAATGGTACAAGACGAACGCAATATACCCACAGCGGGATATAATTATGGGTGATCTTGTAAAGCAACTGTATTAAAAGTTTTTTAGTTTTTCAGTTCGTGAATTGGTCCTAGTAGGATATCATCAATAGAAAGGTTAGCTGACTGAAAGAAGGAATATAAAAACTGTCAAAAGCATTATACTTGCTATTTTTGTTGTCATGTTCTTGGGCAAGCGTTGAGGAAGTGTCATTTGTGTTGCCATCGTTGATTCTGGTAAAGAAGATTTATTTGATCTATGGATGGCAGAAGATGATTTTGGCTCATTCGGTTTGGAAAGTGGTGGTTTAACAAGAACAATTGGTGGAGTAATTTCTTTTAATTGAATAATATGCAGTTCCGCTGATGGATTTAATTGGCTCATCACTTCGAAATAGGAGCCTGGCATAAGAATGATTTCTTTTTCAGTATTATTGTAATATGAATGTTTTGCAATAGATTTTCCATTGATACATTCAATTGAAAAAAGCGTACGTTGTCCATGCTTACCCAAAAATTGATCTGACTCAAGGATTTCCACATGAGTAGTACACGAACTTACTCCCCACCAAGCAAATTTTGTACCAATTTTGTATTTTGAACTTAAATCGGCACCTCGAACGCCTCGCCACACAATTCCACTGTGCGACGGTAGTTTGTAGAGAGCCGTCAGAAATAATTTAAGGAATAAAAACCATGGTTCCAATATTTCACGTTTTTCAGCACGTAACGATTGATTAAGTAACAAATACAAACTTGATTCACCATCAAATTGCATTGTATACAAATAAATCGAAGCTGCTTCTTGCTGAGTTAACCCATCAGCTGGATTTTGACAATTGTGTACTGCAACATAAACATAATCTTCAATTTCATTAAAAAACTGAGAGACCGGTTGAATCGCTTGTGTAAGTGTAACAAGTGGTTTATTTTGATAGCCTTTGATCGGTGACAAAAGATGATCTACAGGTTCATTGCAAAGATCAGTAAAACGAGATGTGTTAGTAGATTGCATTGATTTAGCCATCTGATGTATCTGAATTCACAACAGCGAAAGAGAAAACGTCAAAAACCTTGAAAGAGACATAATACCTTATGGATAGAGTTGAAGCAAAAAATACAAAGAGAAAAATATTATAGTGTGAGATAATTAAATGAAAGATGAAAGAAAATTTTCTAGATGTCTATGAACGTCTATAAAGCAAATAACGTCACCGATTTACGTGGCGAAATCGATTAAGTCAGATAAAATTGATTATGGGTATCAGTTTCAAATCTCTCTTTCGTATTTTTAATGTTCAGATGATTCTGAAGCTATGAAATTACATTCATGTCATAAAAATAGTTTATTTTGCTTTTCAATCGATCTAATAACTTACTCACTACTTCCTAGAAGTTAAAGCTAAAATGTTCTGGGGAATATAGATATTACGCTGTTGTTGTTGGTTACAACTGTTTTACTTCGGACTCATTTGTTTATTTCACTAGAATGATTCATTTACTATACAGTATGGTAATGCTTTTTTGTTCCGTTTCTGTTTGCTTTGCATCCTTTTTTTCGTTCTTTTTAATTATAAAAACGTGACATCTATTGAGAAATTCACGGGAAGTGGGAATCACGATTACTCTCACTCAGAAGCGAAAAACCTTGAGGCTATTACCGTTTCAAAAGAAAAGATACTCCCATACTTTTTAAATAACTTTTGGTAGGAAGAAGATACAAAGCTGCAGTTTCCACGAACGAAAACAGCCGATTTTGGGGTATCTAAATGCACAATGATTTTCCCAGAGGCTGAGATTTCCATTAGATATTTAATTTAAAGGATATCAATCGATAGCCTACATTTGTATCTTTCGAAGAAAACAAACGTGGCATTCTCGTGAAAAAATACAAGTCGTTCGCCCTGAAGTGACGGTTATCTAAATTTTTAAGCGGCAAATTCTACTTTCACCAGCCGACAGAGATAGCCATCTCATTGAAAAATAGATTTTCGACCTTGCTGAATATAATAGTGGCATCATTTTTACTGTTATATAGGCTAGCGAACATACTGCCAGGATGTGAGTGCTGGGTAGGGATGGCACTTCACGTTAATTTAATGTTACGTTATTCGCGTTAACACTTGATTCACTAAAAATTAAGCGATTGAGTGGCTTTTACGAAAAACATGCGATTTTAGAATGTATAAAATAGCGATCATAGCTGTACAAAAGTGTCCACTTTATTTTAGTGTCCCGAGAACCAACCTACACATCTAACCGCTTTTCTCAAGTTTATTTTATAATTCATCACAAGTCTACCCAGTTCGATAACCACAAGAGTGCTAGTCTAAAATATCATTTAATTTTATGGAAATATTCGGACAATAAGAAAGATGTGTAGTACTCTGTAAAAGTCTGAAAAACAACAGGTTTTCATTTGAAAATTCATTAAGTTTCGATTTGCATTCTTTGAAACTAGGTCTATTCGATGTAGACTCTTTTCCTCTATCACTTTCAATACACCAAACATACGAAATAATATTTCCTATACATGAGAATAATTTTCAGTGTCACTGTACTTCATAAAACCATACAATGCACTTAGGAGATAGCTGTGGTACTTAGGCATACACCTTTTCCTCCTTGGAAAATTGTCATAAAATTATTTATCAATCAATAATTAACTTTCTTTTTCTCTCCATTAATACATTCAAGCTAATCGGAATATATACATATCGATATTTCTTTTCCGTTAAAGAGCACCCTCTCTCGTTACTAATCCTATCGGTTGATTACAACGAACCAATAATAAATTAATAATTGCTTCATATGTCGTCATATTCAATTTTCCTATTTAATATTTTGAATTTTATCTGATTAAATCAATTACAACAAAAAAAAGAAACTTCTTCTATCTAGATATGGACTATTCAAATCGAATATTATGTGGCCCTATGGTACGAATATCTAGTCTTCCATTCCGACTTTTAGCCCTTGAATATGGTGCTGATATTGTTTTCTCTGAAGAATTGATTGATTATCGTCTCATGCAATGCGTTCGAGTTGAAAATAGTATTTAATCATGATTTTTTATATGTTCTACTTGTATTTTTTCATTTAGACTCATTGGATACCGTTGATTTTGTCGTGCCAGGTGAAGATCGACCTATGTTACAAATTCATAAAACTCGAGAAAAAAGTCGTCTTGTTGTTCAATTGGGTACAGCTGATGGTCAGCGAGCTTTAAATGCTGCTCGACTTGTAGAAAATGATGTTGCTGGAATCGATGTAAATATGGGTTGCCCGAAAAAATTTTCTATTCAAGGTGGAATGGGCTCAGCATTACTTAATCATCCTGATAAAGTGAAACAAGTAAAAGCAAAATTCTATTCGAGATTTTTTCTGAGAAATAATTTTTTTTAGATACTGGAAACGTTAGTCAATAATTTATCAATACCAGTTTCATGTAAAATTCGTTGTTTGCCAAGTTTAGGTAAATGAAAGAATATTTATTTTAACTAAGATCATATGTTCATAGATAGATGCGACATTATCACTTGTGCGTACGATTGCAACAACAGGTGTGCATGCAATTACTATCCATGGTCGAACCAGAGACGAACGGAATAGTGATGAATGCCGAGAAACATTTATTCAATCCATAGTTCAACAATGTCCGCCCAATGTTGTGATTGTTACGAAGTAAGTCTTTATGAATATTGTTTTGAAGTACAAAGTATAAAATAGTTATATATTCTTCTAAATAACTAAGAACTTGTTTATCTTTTCTTCAGTGGAGGATCAACAAAAATTTCATCATATTCAGATATTCAAAATTTTCGATTGCGATGTGGTCCAGCTCATGGTGTTATGATATGTCAAGCTGCTATGTGGAATCCCAGTGTATTTCGACCGAGTGGTTCACTACCAATTTCAGATGTAGCTAAACGATTTCTTCAAATAGTACGGCCAAACTCGTATTATGTTCTCTTTGTCATCAGACAGTATTCATTCTAGTGTCTCGAATTCGATAATCACCTTCCTAATATAAAGTATGTACTTCAACGAATGTATGGTGATCTTGATAGTGAAAATCAATTTTATGAAAAAATGCTATCAACAGAAACTGAAGCTCAAATTTAGTAAGAATACTATTGAGTTTTTCTTTAATCAAATCTATGAATTATTAGTACCTTATTTGATATGAAAAATGAATATGAACAATCACCATTAGAAGAAAGACGATTGTGGCGTGAAAAACTTCGTAATCAATTTATTGCTAAACTTGATGAAGAATCAGAAAATAATATTATTGAAAAACCGGCAAAATATATTCGGTGAGGATTTTGTTTTAATAGTGCGATTGGTTCTTCGATAATAATTTTATTTTTACTTTCCTAGATCAGACTATACAGCCACATTAACACCAAAATCGATATTGACTGCATATTTTATTCAAGCACGCAAAGATAAGCCAATCTATCATACTGTACATTTGTTGAATATTTCCGTAACTAAAGTTCAACTGTTTTCTTTTTCATGTATAGGAAGAATTAAAACCTCAACGAATATTTCGAACAGTACTTGAGTTTGATGGTCAGCGTTATACTACATCAACTTGGTATGTGGAGATTTCGTTTGCTAATAATTCGATAGTAGAATATCTATTTTTTTCTAGGGAAAAAAGTAAACAATTAGCGGAACAAGGCAGTGCCATTGTTTGTTTACAATCACTCGGTGTCGATCTCACACGTGCTAAATATGGCATTAATTATATAAAAGCTTTTTTTTCTCCCGAAAATAAAGTATAATCGCGAATTTTCTATAACTGATTTTTAATTTAACAATTATATCGTACAACGAAGAGATCTTCTCAAATTTAGGCAATACAGAAATAAGAATTCGATAAATCAATATGAATATCATATTGGTACTGGTTTTATTCTGGAATAATTAAATTTCCTAGGTAGTAGAATTTTCCTAGTAGATGAAAATCTCAAATTGCAGCATCGTTTGTTACGTCGAAAACATAGCAAGCCCAGAATAATCAAAGTTATAATTAATAGAAAACAATAAAGAATCACTCGAGGCTTTCTTCGCCATGTATGATAAATTTGCAGAATTATTCGAGCATCTCGTCCATGCCATGAATTACCCGGCGTATGCCAAGTATATATAGATGAATAAACATTTTCATCAATAATACGAATTATTGATTGATGAGATATTTGATTGAAATAAAATTCATTTACAGAAAGATATAGCGGACCTGCACTAAGCATAACCGTAAGATAATCAACCAAAAAATCACGATTAAAATGTGGAAGACGTGAAACAAGAATTTTAAATAATGGATGACCCTTGGTTGTTATCATAAAACCATTCGAAATACCAATCGGACTTGTACGAGGAAATGCAGCCGTATGATTCACTTCTGGATCCATAGCTTCCAATACATCTAATAAACTATCAAACGACCGTCTACATCCATTGTCCATATCAATATAAATACCGCCCATACGATATAAAACTAAATAGCGAAAAGCATCAACACGTTGTATATTCAGCGGATACTTGAGAAATGTATGTCGATATAAATATGGATATTCCTGACGAACAAAGTCATGCATATCATCATCGGTCCAAATAAGATATTTGAATCGATGTGCATTCGATTTGCGAACGGATTCGACAGTTGCATTCCAATAGACGGGCACGTCAGTTGTCTTCCATGTTTGATGAATAATTCGAGGAATACGATGAAGTTGTTTATGATTTGAATATTTTTCGTTTGTGTATTCATATATATCTGATTCCGTGAGAAAAACTCGTTGAGAACGACGGCGAAAAACGATAATATAAATTAGAAAACAAACCAATACTCCGCAGAAAACTCTTTGTAAGTAAATTCGCCATTGCATTGCATATATACAAGAAAAGAAATAAAATTATGTATTTAAATATTTATTTTTAGTTTCCATGTTGACATGTATTTTTTTAGTACAAAAGCGAAAAAAAATTATTTCTTGATTTTCATCGGAATAAACATGTTAATTCTATATTAATGAGTTGCATTGTACTTGGAATATTGCGGTAGTAAATACACAAATCGAGCTTTTTTTCTTCTGTGTTTAAAATAAGATTAATTCTCACAGTATAATAAAACACCAAGGGTCGCTTAGCTACTACATTATATTTGTGTTTCATGCTTCAATCAGCGCCGTTATGTGAATAAATGTTCTCTTTCTTTCGGTGTACAAAGCTTCGCTTGAATAAATTTTCTTTATTTTTCTGTGTAGTCGAATAGGAAACAAAAAAATTCTTTTCAGAAGTAAAAATGTCAAAGTTTTTCTTTTCAAAAGCAAAGATACTCATGCTGACATTCAGTCGTTTATTTGATTGATAAGGACGTTTAACTTCCTACAACATGTCTGGATTTTTACCATCTAAAATAAACTATTTTCTACGACGCTACTTATCTTACTAGGTACGTGTGTTCTCTTGATTTAAAATGATATATAATATAAGTGCCACGTGAAAACAGAAGGGAAAATATTGATCAAGATAAAACTGGTATCGGATTTCCAAACCCTTCCGATAAAAAAACCTATTAGTATATAAGAGAATGGTTTCAATTCTGAAATTTTTTTTCGAAGATGAAACGACGAGACTTGTCTATTCAGTTAGATTAAATAAAAGAAAAAGAATCCCATCGAAATTTCAATGCCGGAAAACTTTTTTCGAATCAAATTAGTCATTTCTATTTGAATGAAAACTAGAAGAAACCATGATTTGATAAATTCGCCTAAAACATCAACACCGTTTAAGAATAGTTTACAAGTTAGATTCATTGTTTAAAACTTTTTACTGCCATGGACATCAAATGGAAGCAAAATAAAAGAAAATCACGAGATATATAATTATTCATGATCATTTATTTTTACATACGCCTATAAAAATATTCAATCTACATTATACTTAAAGTAACTGACATCGATTGGATGTCACTATTCTCTCTTGGACTAAACTCGATAGGAATATATCAAATGTATGAAATTTCACAAATATCCAAAACAAAATATGTTTAACGTCTAAATGATCGTTGTAGATTTAAAACACACTGAATTAACATTATATTCACGGAGATATGTTATTTGAAAAAATACTGCAATTTATAATACTTCTCTTCTACTCGTTTTCTTTCTTAGCATGGTAAAAATGTCAGTCGCAAACTAGCTTTAAATCATATATTTAAATTACATTTTTATAGGATCATGAGAAAATAGCGTCAGTCATGTTTTTTTCTTCATATTGTGAGCTGTAAAAAAAGGAAAACAATAAAACGAGTGGGTCTCAAAATGAGGTTATATACGACAAAAATCCATACTCAAAATCTATCGAAAAGTTGATAGTCAAATATATTAAAAAGCAGCGTCTAAGTGAGATAAGGCTACTAACGATTTCACAAGTATCACTGGACATATAACTGGTAATGAGTATTTTTATACGATGAGAATAGTAGTAAATTGAAAAAAACGAATCTGCAAAAATTCTATCATTACTATGATTCATGTACAAATATCTAACGTTAAGATGTACTATATTGCAAGAAGATCTAAACCAAATTTTAACTTGAAAAAAATATTTACGCAAGAAAAGGAGCCAATGTTCAATATAGCGCTGAAATCGGAGGGCTTCATTATTTCTAACACTTCTTTTTTGATTATTTATGTTGATACCTACTACATAATAAACTATGCTAGAAAAACGCATGTGCTTTGCGTCCCAGCGCATTGATAGATTTATGCGCTGCTTGCATATTCTTATCTAAACGGTAAAAAACGCTCACAGCCATCGTAGCATTGAATAGAAATATTTACATATTGCAGGAGCCAAAGCAAATATTTACTTGATATTCGAAATTATATTATTAATAACTTACGGGTATGCGTATGAGGTGTGCTTGTAGATGTAACTCTTGTGTTCATCCACCAATACATGACATATCTCAGTGATAATATCATTGGGATTTTCCAAAAAATGAGCGTGTCACCTATTCGCATATAGATAGGTACTTACACACATCCAATCATCAATGCCTGAATCTGTAGACAGCAGCAACATGCAATGTGGTCACGGTCACAGTGATGACCATGATTAGGTTTAAAGAAACTTCGAGACCGTGACTAAAAATCGCGGTCCCACGGGTGTTACGCGATCAAAGGTTCTATCTATGTATCTACCAATTCATCTATTTATATATTTACCTATGTATCTATATGCGGATCGGTGGCGTATTTGTTTCCGGAAAATCCCAATGATATTATCACTGGGATTTGCCATGCACGCAACAGAAAGATTTTATGACTTTCTATTTCGCAAATCGCGTGTACCAATACATTTTCAAACATGGTTTTCGTCAGTCAAATCAACATTACCATCGTCGGATCAATTAATTGAAATTAAGATTTGGGAACTAGGACTTGTCACACGTTCTATTGTTCCACCATTGTCACGTTAACAATATTTTTTAGTTTTACTGCGATTATAAACTTTTTCTCTGTCTTTGTTTTATAAATAAAAATCAAACGCAAACATTACAACTGTAAATAAAAGATACAGATTAAGTGATAGCGATACAGATAGATTTCTTAGCTTATCGAGATAATTTCGCACTGTTTTATGAACATCAGTGATAGCCTTGACATTATCCGGATTTGAATAATTAGCACTAGCAGCAACAAATCCATGGCGCATACTTGAATATGTATGATATTCACATTTTTTACTTATCTCCATATTTGACTCTTCAATAGCACTGGATATATCCGGTTTCAGTGCTGGATCATTGCCAGCAGCGATAAACAGCATTGGTTGTTGCAGTTGACTAACTGCAGCAGGTGTCAATGATGAACCATGAATTGATATGCCAGTAAAGAATAATGTTGATAGATTTGAACAGGCCCGTACAGCTTGTAAACCACCCCAACAAAATCCGACTAAACCAAGTTGATTTTCTTTATATGATTCCTTTAACCAATCGGCAACAGTTTTAAGATCCTTGGAAATTTTCGCCCAATCATTAACCTCAGCTAGCAATGTCATAATCAAACTTGAGTTGGATGCAGCAGCCGTGCCACGATAAAAGTCCGGCATAACAACATGAACTGAGTATTCATGTGCAAGACGATCACAAAATACACGTGTTTGAGTTATATTAAAACCTCGAATATCATAAATAACAATTATTGATAGGTCACTATTCGATGTTCCCACTGAATAGATGTTCAAGTCATCGACTCGAAGTACTTCACCTTTTGGATACGTTTCATTCCATAATGATCCATCGATTGTTTGGCTAGTTAAAACGAAACTAAACTATTATTAACAGAAACTATTTAGAATAGATAAAATCCTACCAAAAACTTCAAGTATACCTGATTTATTGAGAAAAACTCGTTGAGAATGATGACGAAAGACGATAATATAAATTTGATAACAAACTAATGGTCCAAAGAAAATTCTTTGTAAGTAAATTCTCCACTGCATTAAATATATACAAGAAATAAAATTATAAATAAAAATATGTTCTATTATTTGCATCTAAATATTTATGTTTAGTTTCGGTGCGGATATGCATTTACAAAATACAAAAGGAAAAAGAATTATTTATTGATTTTCATCGTAATAAATGTGATAATTGGATATTGATGAGTCTCATTGTACTTCGAATAAGCTGATAGTGAATACACTAATCGAGCTTCTTTTTCTTCTATATTTAAAATAAAATAAATTCTTATCGTAAAATAAAACACTAAGAGTCTTTTACCTACCACGTTATATTTATTTTCACACGCTTCAATCAACGTTGTTATACAAATAAATGTTCTCTTTCTCCCGTTGTAAAAAGCGTCGCTTGAATAAGTATTCTTTATCTTACTAGGTACTTGTGTTCTCTTGATTTACAATGATTATAATATAAGTGCCATGTAAAAGCAGAAAGGAAAATATTGATCAAAATAAATCTGGTATCGGATTTCCCAGCCACTCCGATGAAAAAAAAACTATCAGTATATAAGAGAATGGTTTTAATTCAGAATTTTGTTTCGAAGGTGAAAGGACGAGACTCATCTGTTTAGTTAGATAAAAAAAAGAAAAGAAACTCATCGAAATCTGAAAGAGAATAAAATCAGTTTAATGCTCGAAGTATATAAGTAAGTTACATGCTATGAGAATCGATAAAAAGACGTTCGACTCTTTTCGCATAAAACAAATCCTTTCTACTCAGCGTTGTAACCAGGATTTTTAGACCAATAGGTAAACCTCTGTTGTGTCATATAAAACGATGGGCAAAACACTTTTTGGTCCAACAAAGTACTGATACCGTTAAAAGTGCAAAAACAAAGAAATGTGGTCCTTTTAATGAATTGCATATCGTTCTTCGACATGACTGTTCGGCGATAGACATTCAGTCTACAGACATTTTGTCGAAAGTTCTTTTGGCGACATCTTTCATAGACAAATAAATTAGTCAACGATGTATTTTCTATATGTACTATGAATTTCTAGGTTTTGACAACAAAACAGCGCCTCCAGATCTTTGTTTTCAACTAGCTACTCGAAAAATATTTCATTTAAAAATGTAATGATCATAATACAAGTGGGAACAAGCGGACTTCGGTATTTCCGAAGTACAGAAAAGCACGATGAGAGCTTTACAGGTACATGAATCCGATAGAAATTTCGTCAAAATTATTTGAAAGAAAGAATCTAATCGTAACTGCAAAACATTAAAAACCATAAGATGCCTAATTCGAATTCGAATATAAATTCACATCTGAATAACTATTCACAATTCGAAAATAAATGAAAAAAAATGCGACCATTTAAAAACCATCCCAAAGCAAACGAAAAAGATCATCTAACTGGCAGTGCGTTTGAAATTTAGGAATCGATTTGGATTTATTTTTTAGGGTTTCATGGGAGGGTGTCGGCGTGGGTGCGAGGAAAGACGGACATACACAGATCTACACATGAGTAGCCTAATTCGAATTCGATTATAAATGGAGAATGAAGTAATCATTACCACTTCGAATATAGGTCAAAAAAACGCACCCATGTTAATTGCAGCAAAAAAGAAAAAGAAAAAGTTTCATTTATAACTTTATAATTTATAAAAATCTAAATCTATTTCTGACAGTGGTGTGAAAACATGGACACCGGTTGTTTCTGCATTTATACTCGAAGTCGAATTAGACAGCTACTCGGAGTATGGCATTTCGTACAATGTTTTTTTGATACCTGAGAGAAAGCAGAAGCTGTACAAATGCGAGGTGATAAAATGAAAAATAAACTTCTGAAAAATAATCGGAGCTCAGTATTAGTTCTCACACTGATAAAAGAAGGATAAAACTTTTTGATATATCATTTTGCAATTTGATATACGGTTACTTTCGAAGGATGCTTTTCATTTTCTGTCGGCATTTTTATTCTGAAATAAATCTCATTCAGATTCTGTGATTAATTCAAGAAAAAATTCACCTCTACTATTGAAAATGAAGGTAGTTTTCCCGATTCATTTTCATACCACTGAAGTAAATCTCACTATCGAAAAGGTACTGCAGGTGCTGAGGTGCTGGGGGTTCCAAACCTGCACTGCCCCCCTTGGTTAGCATAGGAAAAATTCTCTCGATGATTCCTATTAAATGAATAGTTGGATTTGCCTAATGATATTTTTTATCACATATAAAAATGATTCACTTTCGATCATTCATATTTATCGTAGAGAAACAAAAAGTTGGCTCTGTTTTATGTATCAGAAATCGACTGAGTTGAAAAGTGTACTAGGATCATTTCTCTAAGATATTATTTTGTTCAATTCTGTAAGTATTATGAATATGCTAAAATGAGAAAAAAAACAGTAAAAATCCTAGAAAAAGAAAGATTGCAACTTATTACAGTTGAATTCATTTTTGAATATTCAAAGCAAATATGAGATGAATATCGTTCATATTTACATATGCAAATGACAGTTATAGAGCAAGAGGCAATTTGTTTGGTAGTTTCGGTCTTTTTTTGATTAAACCTTTTGAAAACGTAAGATGCATAGTGAATATGTGAGTATGATTTCTTTTTTTTTCTTATTGTATAATAGTTAAATGAATCAGTGAGTAATTCAAGGATGCTTTTTATTTAACAAAAAATAATTTCATCTTTGCTTTTTTTCCAGTTTTTAATATGCATTTATAGACTGCACTTAACTCTATGCATCAACGATGTTTTGCACGTTCAAGTTCGGTTACCCGAATAAAGAAGAAAAGGTTCTCTTTTTTATTCTAGCGCACAAATGACTTTTTCTTGACATTTTTGTTATGAATTCAAGTGTTTGAATAATAAAGAGAGCTGGCAGTCTTGTTGAAATTTTATAAGAAATATGCGAGAATTTTTTTTCCACATTTCTATGCTCCAAGTTTTTGAAATTATAGCACCAAGGTAAATATTATGCATTACTATTCCTTTTGATAAAAATAAGTGATCAATATTTCCTCTTGCTTTTCCTTACTATTCGCACTCGTTCAAGTGCTATGATTGTGTGTGTCAATGGGCATGTAACAGTGAACTAACATTTCTCTTTAACGGCGAAAACCATTTATAGCACATACACTAGAAAATGGACGAATAGGAGATTTTTATTCCTTCTTTTCTTTTCTTATTCCTTCGATGTTCTCATAAAAAACCTCTCATTATATATCCTACATCTAGAAATAAAGATTTCTCTTATAGAAACACTTATACGTTCAAGTAAGGATTAGAGTGACGACAGGCTACTAAAAGAAGAAAGAGAACAAGAAAAATAAAATGTTGGTCGTCATGGATATTAGATGCACGGTCGTGGAAAGAGAAGAGGAGAAGAATAAGCCACATTCGTTCTTATTTGACGACCGAGAAGAGCTTCGGGCAAAGGTCACATTTTTCACTTTGTCACATTTTTCTATTTTTATTTCTTCTCTTTCAATACTTTTTCTTTTATCTCGAGAAGATATTAATTTTTCGAACTATCCAATCATGATAAAGAACATGAAAGACGGCGAAAAATCTATTTATTAGTTCTCTATTTATTCTACTTAAATCTAAAATCTACATGACGAATTCGCTAGTGCATTCAATAGAATAATAGCATAAAAATTTCGATGCATAATTTTTCTTTTCTTGTTTTGTTTGCCATTTGCATTTCATTTCTATCACGCAACGGTAAGCAAATATTAATCAACAGATCAACGAATTTCTGCGAAAGCTAAATATGAAACATTGATGAAGTGCTATAAAATAAAGTTCTAAATTCGATGAAATTTTGTTTCATAAAAAATACAGAAAACAAGATTTTCTTTTCGCACAATCGATTTTAATTCCAAGTGCGTCAAATATGAGCCGAACATATTTATGAATCGTAATTAGATATAATCCTGCGTGTTTTGGAACCCCATTCAACACATCTATTTTTAGTCGAATAAAACAATGTGTATATTGCTTTTATGGACTGTTTAATACAATAGAATCGTTTCTTTAACATTCAGAAAAAGAAGAAGAAGAAGAAGAAGAGAAGTTATTTGAACAGAACGATAAGGCATCTGCTAGAAAAAATTGCCAGTCTAATTTTACTTCTAGAATGCATCAAGTTCCGAATGAAACAATGAAACTTATTCCTCTTCAACCATCACCACCGATACCGTCATCAGTGTCGACCTTACTTTCAACAAATAATTCTTTAGCACAGGATCTTCTTTGGATAAGTAAACAACAGCAACAGCATCCATCAACCCTTTCGCATCCATTGAAAAATACTATACGAGTTAATTCTCGTGGTGTCCGTTATAAATTTGATGGTAAACAATGGCGACCATTATGTGTATCACACGATGGATATGAATGTCGAAATCTAGCATATCGCTCTTCATTATGTCAAAAGCATTTCTATAAGGTACATCTTTTTAAACGACCATACGCAAAAACTGGTCCAATGCCACAGCAACCATCATCATTATCTGGTACTCCACCACTGGCACTAAAACGTCCGTTACCATCGGATTTTGATCATCATCAACGCCATCAAAATGAACAACAACCAAACCAACAAAGTAGCATTAATGACGAACTCGAAGAACTATCTGAAGATGATGATTCAATTGAAGTCATTGAAGATAATGATGTAAGTGGAGAAAGATATCTTTGAGACCATAGGAAATTCTGATATAAATCGATTCATTTCATCTATCATTTAGTGCTGCTTTATTTACTTAAAATTAATAAAAATTTCATTTAGAAGCATTCAGATTAGGGATGCATACAAATCTTCAATTAGCACTCAACATTCACTTATTCATATCTAATCATATCACTAAAGAAAAATACGAAAAACTTTTCGAAAGTGCAATATCAAAACAATCTCGAATGCCTCTTTCTTTTCTCACGTGACAGAAATTATGGGGTTTGAGAATGACAAAGTAAAAGAAAAAGATTCAAAAGAGATAATTCTCGAGAGAAATCCACTGAACTATTTTTCGCATGTTGTATTTTTTTACACTTTCCTAATCTGCCACATGAATTATGCAAGCAAGTTTGTAAACAAATATCGATTATTTTAGGCAATAGTCAGTAAACAAGATACCAGCCAGTCACAACCAGAATTCAGTTATTTTTCCATTGATGGTGATTCTGAAGAAATTTCCGAAGCGCCAATTAAACATCAAGTTAAACCAGAACCGGTATGATAGACTAAGAAAACAAAAATTTGAAAATAAAATTTTTATTTTCAGTCATTAACAACAACAACAACAATAGCAACAGCAGCAATAACAAAACCCTATGCTAGTCGCATAGAAGGAGTAGCAAAACGATTAGATTCAACAAATACAGAATCTGTTATATCGAATGAATCTGAATCATCATCAACATCATCATCATTATTGAATACATCGATTCCGAAAATCATCGAATCTATTCGTCTCGGTATTCCACCATTAACGCGAACAGAAGAAAAATCTGTAGCAAATGAATTAATTTCACAATTATCAACGGACATATCATTTACAATAGGAGAACACATGGCACGTCGTCGAGCATGTGAAATAGTTTTCGATAATTATTCTCATCGAATTTTATGTGAGAATATTGCAACAGAATGGTTTTATGACTTTCTCTTACGGAATCCACGTGTACCAATACATTTTCAAACATGGTTTTCGTCGGTCAAATCAACATTACCATCATCGGATCAATTAATTGAAATTAAGATTTGGGAACTAGGACTTGTCACACGTTCTATTGTTCCACCATTGTCACGTTAACAATATTTTTTAGTTTTACTGTGATTATAAACTTTTTCTCTGTCTTTGTTTTATAAATAAAAATCAAACGCAAACATTACAACTGTAAATAAAAGATACAGATTAAGTGATAGCGATACAGATAGATTTCTTAGCTTATCGAGATAATTTCGCACTGTTTTATGAACATCAGTGATAGCCTTGACATTATCCGGATTTGAATAATTAGCACTAGCAGCAACAAATCCATGGCGCATACTTGAATATGTATGATATTCACATTTTTTACTTATCTCCATATTTGACTCTTCAATAGCACTGGATATATCCGGTTTCAGTGCTGGATCATTGCCAGCAGCGATAAACAGCATTGGTTGTTGCAGTTGACTAACTGCAGCAGGTGTCAATGATGAACCATGAATTGATATGCCAGTAAAGAATAATGTTGATAGATTTGAACAGGCCCGTACAGCTTGTAAACCACCCCAACAAAATCCGACTAAACCAAGTTGATTTTCTTTATATGATTCCTTTAACCAATCGGCAACAGTTTTAAGATCCTTGGAAATTTTCGCCCAATCATTAACCTCAGCTAGCAATGTCATAATCAAACTTGAGTTGGATGCAGCAGCCGTGCCACGATAAAAGTCCGGCATAACAACATGAACTGAGTATTCATGTGCAAGACGATCACAAAATACACGTGTTTGAGTTATATTAAAACCTCGAATATCATAAATAACAATTATTGATAGGTCACTATTCGATGTTCCCACTGAATAGATGTTCAAGTCATCGACTCGAAGTACTTCACCTTTTGGATACGTTTCATTCCATAATGATCCATCGATTGTTTGGCTAGTTAAAACGAAACTAAACTATTATTAACAGAAACTATTTAGAATAGATAAAATCCTACCAAAAACTTCAAGTATACCTGATTTATTGAGAAAAACTCGTTGANACAATTATTGATAGGTCACTATTCGATGTTCCCACTGAATAGATGTTCAAGTCATCGACTCGAAGTACTTCACCTTTTGGATACGTTTCATTCCATAATGATCCATCGATTGTTTGGCTAGCTAAAACGAAAATAGACAATTATAAATAGAAACAATGGATAAAATCTTACCCAAAAGGACACCAAAAGTAACGTGCAACAACGATAGTAAATTCATGCTACTAGTTTTACTTGAAAATAAATTACGTCTACACGGCAACCTTCGATGCAGTTATATAACGCTAATATATGCCTTTTAAAGGATAGAGAAGAAAAAAAATGCTATACTTTTATCCGTCAAATGGACAACAATTTATATGTATATAATAGTTACACAGTATGAAGAAGTATTAGAAAGGCGACAGCATGTTTTTTTGCAATATGAAAACAAGAAGGCTATTTTTTAAGAGAACAAAAATCATGTCGAGTCAATGCAAAGCAAATTTACAGAAGCATTGTGTAATACATCTTGCAAGCAGAGATCATTGTCATGACATTTCTTATCGTATATGTGAAGGATATGGTAAATAGCATACCCAATCTCCTTGAATATCACGAGATAAAAATAAAACTTCTACAATGAGACGCACTGCTCTCATCGAATGTATATTTATTCTGTATTTATTTTCAGATTGTCGTTTTAAGCCTATTTTTTGCTGATTCTAGAGCATGTATGGTAATACCTGCCAATTATTTATTAATGACCATAATATTTACAGTCATTTTACACTTTACAGAAACATGAGTCTATTTGCATTCAAATATAGAAGATTCTCTGATTTTTATAAATGAATGAAGAGTACTCCAATTCAATGTTCGGTTTAATAAGAGATTGAGAGGAAACTAGGGCATCCTATTAATTGAATACGTTCTAATTTCTTTTTCGGTTGACTTTAGTGCACAGTCAAAAAATGTTACGGAAATCTGTTTTGAGATTTTCTCGTATTATTCTTATAAACGAGTTTTTAACTGGCGCAAAAAAATATGGTGTCATGGAGTTGAGTAGGGGTGTCAATTTACAGTTTATTTTATTTAAATTTAACTTCATGAAAAGTTAATTTAATTTTAAATTAAATTCTATCAAGTTAAATTTAAATTAAATTTTTGAAAATTTATTTCTTGATTTAATAAATGTTTTTAAATTTAAATTTTAAATTTAATAAATTGTTTGGATGGATACACACGATTGCTACGAGAGAAATACGTGACTTTAACAGTAGTAAATACTAAATGAGAGGAAAACCTAGTATTTTAGGTTAATATTTATTCATAATAGTCAAAATTTCTCTACAGATTATGCAGGATCCGTCATCTTTCTTCTTCAGAATACTGGGATACTCATAAAATTATATTTAATAGCACAATTCATAGAAGAATGACTAGTTTTAAATTTAGAAAACAGGAAAAATACTCAAATTTGACTTTAAATAGTAGCAATCAAGTCAAAAACTATTTTTATCTGCTAGTTTTCAAAATTTAACTAATTTGAATTTCAAACAATTTAATTTAAATTTAGTTAAATTTAAATGATACAAAATTTAAAATTTAATTAAATTTAAATTTCTTGAATTTAAATTTCTTGAATTTAAATTTATTTTAAATTTAACTTTTCATTTAAAAAAAATTTAATTTATTTTAAATTTAAATGTAACACCCCTAGAGTTGAGGAATTATGAATTAAGAACATATTTTGTTCGCATTCCAACATCATACATTTATTGTAGTATTTTGAATGAGACAATTCGGATTAGTTATTCATATTGACAATACAATTATAAATCAAAGTGAAAGTCGGGAAATCACCCTTACGCGCCTACTCCAAGGCCATTAGCGGTTGAAGAGATTGCTACTCTCTTTAATTCTCATTGCTTTTTCATGTCTACATTGAATCCGACTGTAATTTATATTTTTTTGTGCGGTTCATTGAAGTTTCAACTAGTGGATGTTTTCCTTTCTATGATTCATATTTTGTTTTTTTTGCCTTCAGTAATGAAATTGCGATCTTTTTATTGGCAATGAAAATAAAAACTCCTCTACTATAGTTGTTTTTTTCTTTTATTTTGTTGCGGAAAACAATTAAGTCACTTAGAGAAAGTGTGAATGGAACGGTTGTCAACCTTCAGATGCATTTAATTGTCGTTTCTAACGTTTTTCGCTTTGCAAAAAATCCATGGTAAACGTGTTGTTGTATATGTTAACGTCTGACAGACATTAACAACAACAAAAAAATGGTACATTGCACAGAAGAAAAAACTTAATAGTAAAAGAGAAAGAATGGCAACATCAAGAGTCAGCAATGGTACAATATTATCAGCGAGTAGAAATGAGCGTCGCCAAGTACAAGCACGTATACGTGCAATTCAACAGCGAACTAGTAACTCTATTGTTGAGCATGATAACAAGAATAGTTCGTTATTCTTTATTAGATGCTTTAAACGAAGAACTATCTCATTCGTCATCAATGGCGAATACAGCTGTTCGCGATATTGAACAAACGTATATGGCAATTACTAGCGAATTTCAAGAGCAACGTGATCAACTCTTAAGACGTATTCATCATATTAAACAAAATATTCAACAGTAAATTTATTTTTATTTGATATTTAATCTTCAAATTTAGTTTCATAGATCCACTAGTGAACTTAATGGTATACGTAAAAATTTACGTTCAACAGAATCATTTCACTTACCAGAAAGGTAAAATAAAAAATAGCGTTTTCCTTCCTTTACAAAACAAATGTACATCATAGTACGTCACGACAATTAGCTGATATGGAAGTACACGAAATGAACGCAATGGTTGATGATATTGAACGTGTTCTAAGTAATATAGCACAACAACTAAAACAGGTAGATAGATAGTATACGTAAATGCGTACATTATATTCTCAGTGAATTTATTCTGTAGTATCGTTTTCAACCTGCGCATGGATATGCATCGGGTAAAACACTCGGTAAAATAAGTGTTGATAAAAATGCCAATCGCAGAGAGAGTGGATTATCGTCATCAAAATTAATAATGACACCAAATAATCCATACAATCTTATATCCGTACATAAATTATTTACAGTCGACTTAGATATATCTGCTGAATGGATTGTTTCATCGATGGTAGATCGTCTATTTTTATGTAATAGCGAAGGTGAAGTACGTATTTTCTCGTATTCTCGCCGACTTCGTCGACAACCGTTATTAACTGAGCGTTTTCATTTATCAACTATACGTCTTATTTCGTCATTCACAGCTACACACGATTATTTAATTTCATTCGAAACTGATACGCATACAATTGCACTGCATACACATCATGGTGCATTACTTGTTCGTTTAGATTTTCCCTACGATCCGATTATGATCGTTCGCTGTGATTATTTCACTAAAAATCAACTCTGGTCATGCAGTCGTACGAAACGTCAATGTTTTCAATTTAGTGTAAATCATGCAACAAAAGAAATACTTCCAATGGAACAACTAGATTTTAAACGTCCAGTAGCCGGCATTGTAATTGATCCTGTCGGCATATCAAGTGATGACCACGATCGCATTGGTATACATGATATTAATAACGTAACAACTGATCGGCTATTAATTTATACAAATAATCAAAATACGATTATACCTCTTGATTCAATAAAATATGCTGATCGACATCTAACATCTCAAATAGATCGTGTTTTATTAGTACCGAAACAGCCGAACTTAATTGTTATGCTTTATGCACCACAATCAACAATAACAAATCTGCATGAAGTTGTTATTGTTGACATCGAATCACAACCAGCACAAATACTTCAACGTTTACAAGAACCAAACGGGATAAAAAATATTGATGTAACGCTAAATGGCGAAATAGTTTATAGTGTTACACCACCTGCAAATAAACGAATAGTACCAAAACTACATATTTACAGTTTAGTTAATTAATCGATTGACTTGCTTTTGAGAAATATAAGACAAAAATTCGTACGGATTTTTTCACGCTTAATAAAATAAATAAAAACTGTTTTCATTTTCTTGCAATTTAAAAAAAGTTGGTATTACAATGATCACTGTAAACCCGTGAACTCTCTCGTAGTATTGCAATAAGTACTTTTTTTTCTTTTGTTCTCGCTTTTGTTTCTTAAAATTCTCATAAGAACTTAATTAGAACGTAAAAAAGTGCGTCTATAAACGAATATGCCTTCTGAAGAGTTTTTCAAGCTATCCAAACTACTTCTTTCTTTTCTCTATAGTAGAAATAAGAATTTAAGAATAAGCTCCAGCAGACATTGCACTATGTAGAATGAAGGATCGCTGAGAATTTACAGTTGTCAAATGAATATATTTTTCAAACGTTATGATGCAGAAATGAGGATACATATATTTGTCTGTCGGGCTAGATAAGAGTGCTTTAATCGAAAAAAAGGAATCAAGTGGGAAACGTCGAGAAAACTTAGATAGCGTGTGATTCTTACCAAGTAATTAATTTTCAATTTAATCCACCCAGATTCTTATCGTTGTAAGCCTAGAGCATGATTCGCATAAAAATTAATGTTAACTGCAATATAAATTCTTCTAAAAAAACGCATGTTAATATCATGCAGAATCATTTCAATGGATTGGTTTCATAGGTCAAAATTTTCGAAAGCAGCAAATCTCTGAAGTGAGATATCAATGTTTGTTCGAACCGAGAGATATTTTTCGGCATGAAAATGTGCTCTTAACCATCAATGACATACTGAAAAACAGCCAAGTACCAATATAAAAGATCAATCGCTATTTTCAAAGATTAATAAACATCTCAAGATTAACACATTATTTCACGCTGAGCTTTTCTATCGAGTCTTAAAACCATAAGATGTGTGTACGGACACTATTTCCGGCTGAAGTTTCGTCACTCAGGTTTTTTTTCATCAAATTGATTTTCAGACATTTAGTTTTCTTTGAATAGAATCGACCGTCTCTGTGTACCGTGCTTATCGCAGATAGACGATCAAAAGATCATAGATGATGAGAAGAGAAAAAAAAGAAAACCTAGCACATGTTTATTTATGAACTGTTGAAGGAATAAGATTGTCGACTCCTCGTCAGTGAATTTCATCCGGAGACGACTCAAGCCTATCGTGACTCGTACTCTTTTTTTTGAAAAACAAGTATTGTTGATATTGCAAAAGTTCTCAATACTAAATACCGGCACAATGCAAATATTTAATATTAAGGAAAGATTCAATTAATAATAGCAATAAAAAAAGGATTAGAAATTAATCTGCTTTATTTACTTGATGATATGACTTTAGTCGTAGACAAAGAAGAGCAGCTTTCGAATACTTACTCTTATGATATAATAATAGTTTTGCACGGTAACAAAAAACTCTATCTTGTTTTATTTGAATAGATATTTCATTGCTTCTCATACGTACTCATTCTTGTCGAAGGTTGTCTAATGGTTTAATATTTAATTGAGATCGACACTTGTTTTACATGGCAATAGTTCCAGTCTGTCATGTCTTATCTCATGTGTGTTATTAACCAATGTCATGTTGAAAATTATGAATGGAGATCACGCGATGTTATTTTGATTAATTTATTCATCACAATGTTATCTCATTTTTCATCATCATTATTATCGTCATCGTTCTCGAATAGAGGCACTCATTTTGTTTCTACTTGCAATCGATGAATATTCTAATCAAGTTTTATAAAAAAAAAGAAAAGTATCACTTGATTTTTATTTGAAAACTTCTTTGAAACTAAATCAATGTCCTAGACCAATGTTTTCGTATTTCACTTTATCGTATGAAGATCTTGTAGACTTCTCACTTTCAAAAAAAAAAAAAAAAAAAAGAAAAAATTTTTTATTTATAACAAAATTGAAAAAAAAATTTCATGGAAGTAATCACGTTTTGGTTCGAGATTACTGTTGTTGCATTGTCATTATAAGCATTTTTATAATTGGTAAGTATTCAAAAGTTTAAATTATCTGATTTATCTTAAAAATAACTAAATATCTATTTCTTCTGAATGCATCAATGGATACAATTATCAGTCATCTGTTAACTTTTTTTATGACTGAACAGAATAATAGATGCGGTTCGTTTTGTTGTTGCTAATACAGTATATGTCATATGGTATATAGTTTCATTATTGAATAATCTATGACGTTCGTTTGAGTGGTTCTTCAGAGAAAAAGATTGGAAAATAAGTGTAAAATCGAACATTGCATTTTTGCTTTGTTCTCTAGTTCTAAAACTCAATTTTACACTATAGATTAATTCGATTTGAATAGAAGTGACGTTGTAGTTTATATAAATCTTGGGAAAAGAACAATAATCTTTTGCTATTATCGAGATGTTTTCATGCAAACATTAATGACAATGTTGATAAAAAGATCGCATTTATTTGTCAATAGTTTTGTATGTGAATGAAATCGGATTAGCGCCCAGTCTTTATCTAAACTCATCTACATCTTTTCCTGTTTGATGTTCTTCAATGAAAGAATCGACTGCAGACTATATATATAGAAAGACTATGCAGGATGAATGAACGAATCCATACGTTCCTAATTGCCAGGAGATTCCTTTTCATCGGAAAAAAACACATGCAATATTCTACAACACTCCTATAATAGGGCCAACAAAAAAGAATGGAACCAGAGAGATCACTTTCGCTACTTGTTGCGTGTTTTTTCCTGGCCTGAAATAAACGAAGAACAGAAAATAATGACAGACGACATTGATGACTGCTTGCATATGTAAGTTTGCTGCTTTCAATATTATTAGTAAAACATTCGATACCATACTTTGGTGAATCAGCAACTAGCTTTAATAATTCACATGTTAACATGATAGAAAAGGTGAAATGGTTTTCTCCGCAAAAAATAACAACATCTCGAATTAAAATAGGCAAAAGGCGGCAAAAAAAAATCTGCTGCCTTTCGATATTGTTATTGCTATCGTTTTTTAATGTTGTTCTCTATGTTTTATATTCTCATGATTTGTGACATCAGGCTGTCTGTATGTTAGATTATTGTCAAGATTAGCTGAAAACATATAATATATACTTGTTGAAATAAAATTAACTTGTGAATTATATTATCCCTTAGGTGAAAAAAAGATTATTTATCTAAACTGGAGCGAAACGAATATGATCTTGTTTCTTGCTTTTTCTTCTACGAGTGTATTATCTAACATCCCAATTATTTTTGACAGAATGCAAAAGAAAAAAAAATAATAATTCTAAGTGAGACCTCGAGGCATTTCTGTTCATGTATGTGTGCTTCTATGAAACAGAGAAAAAAAGAACAAGAAGAAGACGAACGATATTAATAGTATTGTCTACATCACGTTCGTTCCTTCTTTCTTTCAATATATAAATATATATATATATATATATATTCTTTTTTTGTTCATAGTCATATACTAATTATGTTAGAATCCTTTTCTGTTCTATCAGAAATCGAATTTGACTTTTTTCATTTCCTTTCTTCTTCTTTTTTTCTAAATGTTCTAACTTTTACGCGCGTCTATGTTATGTTGATGTCTATATTCATAGATGAATGTGAGTGGCGGCAGCAACGACAATATAAATTAATATTAGTAAAAATCGAAATGAAGAACATCAATACGACGAATAATGAATCTACTCAATCATGTAAACGATTCTCTGGCTTTCTCACCATTGACTTCCATTACAAGTTCATCTATCTATCGTCGATTAAATATTAATAAACCAAAACAACGACGACACCAAACTACGACTATTTCATACATTTTAAATATTACGTCGCTTTCATATTCTACAAGTGAAAATCAACAAGTTTCACTCGACGAACCCTATTCGGTTAAAACAGGCATTAAAACAGCAGCTCTTCTTGGTGGTATGTTATTTTAAAATACAAAGAAACAAATTCATTGGTTTCGTTCATAGGCGAATCCACTATTGAATTTAAAAAGAAAACGAGTAGTTATTCCGTGATATAATTCCCTAATGTAATTTAAGAATAGAAATTCTCTCTATCTATTATATTCAAACAAAAGACAAGCGCAAGAAATCTTTAGAAAACAGAAAGAAATATTTTATAAATAATTTTTATAATGTTTCATGGAGAATCGGATGACTGAATATAGTCTTATTAACAACTAGATTCATTTCAATATATATTTCATCGGCGACAAATATTATTTAGATTGATAACTAGTGAAATGCTCCCGCAGCTGATTCTATAGGTGACAAAGACTATCTTTTTTTTTTTTATTTATAAGACAGCAACGCCTAGATTAAAAAGCGGTATTTTCTAAATCTTAATTAGCAAGGGAAATCTTTCAACTGATTAATTCTTTTTGAAAGAAAACTATAGGCATCTTTAAGATCATTATACACTATGAATATATGTGACGAAGTGTTCGAGATCATCGTTTTTTTTACATTATATTTTTCTTACTAGATGACAAAGTCCCCTAAAGACATGATGTAAAAACTGATTTCCCACTTGAAACGTTGTTTTTTAGAAATAAGCCTAATCGATAAAAAGACGATGAAGAAAAGTTTTTTGAAGTCTTTTCGTTCTTGCTATCCCAAGACATGAAGGTGTCAGAAGAGCGTGTTTTTACATCAACAGATTTGTTGTTCTTATTTCCTGACAAGAGAAAATCGCAAAATAAACTAGTCTTGTTAACAAGTATTTCTATGGAAATTTTCAGGCAAAAGTTGAAAATTGAATTTCTTATCGGTGTTCCTATCGAATGTGTAGGGCACGAAGTGTAATGTGCCTGCGAGAACAAAAATAGGTTCATGCCATTCATTTTAGTCGACATAATTATAACTGAATAATAATTAATGATTAGACGTATTTTGAAGTATCCAATAGTAGAGTAAGTGAAAAAGAGCAAAGTTCTATTATGATTAGCGTATCATAAGAATTGCAGCCAACCGCTCTAGACATTGTTTTTTTTTTTTGAATGGAATAAACTTTATCGGAAAAATCAAAATTTCATATTTATTGTAGGCATCTTGGCATGTTTTATTTTGTATCTTCTGTGGAAAGCCCGAACACGCATATGGCGTGCTATATCAGCACCGGAATCGGATATTGACGGTGGTACTCGTTTATCAGCAAATAAATTCGATCTAGATTATTGGTTAAAACAAGTTGATTTACTTGAAGCAAAAGAAGCCGAGCGTAATCGCGGAGGTACATTGCCCTATCTTGAATTACCTACCGAAGAACCACGTGACAGTCAACTAGCAACTGCTTCTTGGATTTCCGATGCGTATCATCAATGGCGTCTTATGCATTTCCGATACCAACATCGAATGCTTGAACAAAAGACCAATCAATCTACAGAAACAAATCTGATTCCGTATCGACGTCGTCGACATCTTTTACGCCGATGTATTCGACGTCTTCTTATTCCATCTCATCAAACTCCATCATTTTTAGATGAACATTTATCATCGTTGATTGCCGATTTAAGACCAAGTATAGTAAATAATAATTTAATTCCACCATTAGATACATTAGATAATCCACCCCGACGAGTTGCTTCATGGCCTCGTCTCAAATCAACTCAACAACAGAATGGTTCGCTGATGACAGGAGCACAAACACGATATGCCAGGAAACGTCTCCTTTTACAAAAATCAAGAACTAGTACATTAGATCTATGCGAGAAAAATTATTAATGTCCACGTTTTTCTTTTTTTTTTAAATTTTATTGTTGTCTATGAAATAAAGATAGATCTTAATTAGAGTCTTATGATTTTAAAAAATAATTTTTATAATCAAAATTTTTCATTAGTAATATATAAATCCATGTGAAATCAGGCCATATTGAAGTATTATTACCCTTAGCATCTTGATACCACGAATGACAACCTCCTTTCTGCCATACTGTTCGCTTTAATTTTGATTGTAAATTTTGATTATACTCTACATGTACATCTTCTTTTATTTCAATTGATCGTAGATTATTTTCATCCATATAAAGAAATGCTTCTGCTACATAATTTATTTGTGATTCTATCATAATAACAACTGAATTATGACCGAGAGCTGTATTTGGACCGAGGAGAATAAAGAAATTTGGAAAGTTGGGCACAGTTACACCTCGATAAGCCTATTGAACAAAAACATCGATATATATATATATATATATATATTTAATGAATATTGTCGTATAGACTATATTCACCTGTATTGTTTGAGACCATTGTTCAGCTAATGAATGTCCATTGAGTCCATAGACAGGTAATGGAAATTCTTGTGCTTGAAATCCAGTTGACCAAATAATAATATCTACTGGATATTCGGTACCATCCTGAGTAATGATCGAATGCGATTGGATTTCTCGAATACGATTTGAGACAAGTTGAACGTTCGGTTTTTGTAATGTTGGATACCAGTCATTAGTTATTAACATACGTTTACATCCGAATTCCCATGACGGCGTAAGTTTAGTTCGAAATTTTTCATCTCCTATTTGTCTTTCAAGATTAAATTTAACTAATTTTTCATTTATAATTTTCAATGGCCAACGATAAACAAACGATAATGCAACAGATTCTGTGATCCAATAAATAAAAAGACGTATTAATTTTTGAACAATAGGAAAACGCGCTAATAAATTTTTTTCCCATTGTGTGATAGTTCGATCAACTCGAGGTATAATCCATGGTGGAGTTCGTTGAAAAACAAGTAGTTGTGAGACATTCATCTGTTGAATCTCCGGAACAACTTGTATAGCACTGGCGCCTGTGCCAACAACAGCTACACGCTTATTTTTAAAATCAATTGTCTTATTCCATTCAGCTGTATGACACATTTGACCTTCGAATGTATCGATACCTGGAATATCATTTGGATAAGCAGCATTCGATAATAGACCAGTACCAAGAACAACTGATCGAGCATAGAAAATTCTTTCTACATCGTTTGCCGTTGTTTTAACTTGCCATAATTGTCGTTCTTCGATCCATTTTAACTGTGAAACAGTTGTGTTAAAATGAATATGTCGATGAATATTATATTTGTCTGCACAATGTTCCAGATATTGAGCTATTTCAGGTTGTCGACTAAAATAATGTGACCATCTCGGGTTTGGTTCGAATGAATACGAATATAAATTCGATGGAACATCACATGCACAACCTGGATATTTATTAGCATACCATGTCCCACCGACATGTCCGTGTCGTTCAATGAGAATGTAATTATCCATTCCAAGTTCATTAAATTTAATAGCCATACCAAGACCAGAAAACCCAGTGCCAATAATAATGGCATAGTATTCATCATCTCTTTGATTATTGATCCATTTTATTTTTCGTTTAGCTCGTTTAGATGCACGGCCAAATGAGTCATAAATAAGCCAATGAAAAAATTGGCCCATAGAACCTACTAGTAATGTAGTACATAGCACAATTTGAAAGACTAGCAGTAACAATAAAATATCTAGCCGTAAGAAAAATGGTAGTACCATCTAAAGCAAAAGAAAATATTCAGTAATCATATTTAGAATCAAAATACCAAAATGATACATAGAAGAAAGAGGTAAAGTCGTGGTACTACTACTACTACTCATGAATGTTTTTTTTTTGTTGGTCATTTCAGTAACGTATACATTATGTTATACAAATGTTTATCAATTTTAGAAACCAAGCCGATAAAATCTTTGGAATATTCTTATTCGACCTAGAAACAGAATAGAAAGAAAAAACAACAACAACAACAAACAGTTATTTTTCGTTTCTCTTTTCTTTCATTTACAATGATACAGCTGTGATTCATCTACACCTTGTTTCTTATCACTAGTGAAATAAAGAGTAAAGAAAAGGATCTGTCTGCTTTTGCTTATCTTCAATTTATGAATTTGTTCTCTCTGATGTTACATAATTATATACAAAATCAAGAGAGCAACTAATCTTCGTTTCAACTAGATTGATGTTTTGTCGCCACACAATGGAAATTTAAAAAGCAGGAATCAGCTGCTTGCTTTTGATATATTTTGAGCAGAACTAAATAATTTTTTTTCCATCATTAGATTCAATCGTAGAAGTTTTTTGTTCCAAATTTATATTGACTGCTCGCCATGCATGATTCACTCGAGAATCAAATAGCAGAACTCAGAAAATATTATTCGAATTGATTTTTGATGGAAAACATAATACAATTAACTAATGGGAAAAGCTCGATGAAAACAGATCAAACTGTGTTTTGTTAATAAACTTTTATTCTCTACCTTGATTGTTAAACAATAAAATACTCATAAACAATAGCGCTATTTTTCTAAAGTACAATTTTCATGATAAATCCATGTAAAATCATGCCGTATGGTTGTGACTACACCATCTACATTTCGAGACCATGAATGACGACCTCCTAAATGTCATACAGTCTTCTTAAATTTTGATTCTATGTTTCGTTAACTACCATCTTTTATTTCAATCGATCCTAGACTATTTTCAAACGTATAGAGAAGAGCTTCGGTTATGTATTTTAATTGTGCTTCCAGCATGATTGTAACAGATGAATGACCGAGACGAGACTTAGGACCAAGAAGAACAAATAAATTTGGAAAATTAGGTTCAGTCATAGCACGATAAGCCTTTCAAAAATTAAAAACAAACTTATCAAGTATACACATATAAAATAATTTTACCTTCATTGTATCAGACCATTGTTCAGCTAGTGCACAACCATCAATGCCATAAATAGGTAATGCGAATTGTTGTGCTTCAAATCCGGTTGCCCGAACAATAATATCAACTGGATGTGTCTGGCCATCACGCGTGACAATCGAATTCGATTTGTTACAAGATGAACATTTGGCTTTTGTAATGTTGGATACCAATCACTACTTATTAGAGCACGTTTACATTCGAAATCCCATGTTGCTGTTACTTTTCTTCTTAGTTCAACATCTTTAATTTCTCGTTCAAGATTACTTATGACTAATGCTTGATTAATAAAACGAAGTGACCAACGATACACAAACGAAAGTACTAAAGCTTCACGAGACCAATAAAGACTTCTACGAATGAATTTTTTAACAATAGGAAAACGCGCTAATAAATTTTTTTCCCATTGTGTGATAGTTCGATCAACTCGAGGTACAATCCATAGTAGAGTTCGTTGAAAAACAAGTAGTTGTGAGACATTCATCTGTTGAATCTCCGGAACAACTTGTATAGCACTGGCGCCTGTGCCAACAACAGCTGCACGTTTATTTTTTTTAAATCAATGGTCTTATCCCATTCAGCTGTATGACACATTTGACCTTCACATGTATCAATCCCAGGAATATCTTTTGGATAAGCAGCACTTGACAATGGTCTCGTAGCTCCAACACCAACTCGAGTAAAAATTTGCTTTTCTTCATCGTTTGTTTTAGTTGTAACCTGCCATAGTTTTTTTCTCCTTGAGCCATTTTTATTTTGTCACAGTTGTATCAAAGCGGATATACCGACGAACCCCGTATTTATCTGCACAATGTTCCAGATATTGAACTATTTCAGGTTGTCGACTAAAATAATGTGACCATTTCGGGTTTGGTTCGAATGAATACGAATATAAATTCGATCATGCACAACCTGGATATTTATTAGCATACCATGTCCCACCGGCATGTCCGTGTCGTTCAATCAGAATGTAATTATCCATTCCAAGACCAGAAAGCCCAGTGCCAATGATAATAACATTGTATTCATCATCTTTTTAGTACTAGTGGATTTCAATTTTTGTTTAGCGCATCTTTCTCGACGACCAAATGAATCATGCATAAGCCAATAGCAGAACTGGCTTGCCAGTTCGATTAGTATTGCTATGATGGTTAATGCATAACTACAGATGACGAATAGTAATAATTGTGGTATAGATGTTAGTTTTTGTCCCATTTATAAAAGATATCACATGTAGTGCAATATTCTAGATAAAAATATTTTCAAAAAAAAGGAGCATGATGTATCACATGCTTATCTTTTTTTCTCCATTCTGTTTTGTTTGACTTTAGATGACTTTTGCTCTTTATTGTCAAAATAGAGCTTATATTTTATTGTTCTTGTCGTTTTGAATTTTAACAAAACGTACGTACTTTCATCAGTTGGTTTCTAGATTTAGATGCGACCAATATTTACATTAGATAATTTCAATTTCTTTCTAATTCTCGCTTGACGTTGTCTGCATACTCGTTTTGAGTACTTGAAAATAAAGCTTTCCGTTTTATTGACTTCTACATTAGCTTGAAGATATATTTAACTTTAAAAGAGAACTGTCTGGTTAAAAGGAAATCAGGTGTTTTTATAGAGTATTTGGATAGTTAGCTTCCTTTTTTATTATTATTGAAGATCGAATAATTTGAGAAAACCAAAGGAGCATTCAATTCAAAAAATTTTGAGCACGATCAAATCAAGGATTTTTAACTATTAGGACCGATTGACTTAAAAGCTTTCTCTAATATTTACATCGTATTTCTACTTCTCATTCATATTACAGTCATCTCTATCAACGAAATTTGTAACACGACACTACTGTTTACTTAATTTAAAGAATCCGTTCAACAAATATATTTTTATGATTTCAGATTATTTGAACTAAAACTAAATTCAGTTTTAGAAAGGTACAGTACTCATAAGCGATGCGATTAACGTCGCTCATTGGACAATAAATACATCAAAATTTCTTTGCGACAAATTATCTAATAAAGAATCAAAACTAATTTAATTGAACATCTTCATAATATTGCATGATGATGATCACAGAAAAGAGTCTATGCTCAAAATTGATTGCACAATATGTATATGACACGAATACAGTTCAAATTCGTCATGTTAATATAAAACTGTGAAAGAAAGCCATTGCGTAATGAATCATTAGTTGAAGAGGCTTATTCTCATTTGATGGCGGATTTATTTCTATAATCGAAGTACAAATGTTTCTCAATACGCACATAACCTCTCGTCTTGAGTTTGCCACAGAAAAAAAAACTCTTATTCAATAGTCTACTAACATAAGGCAATCGTTTATGTGTAAACACTAACAATCAAGCATTGGCATTTCAATTGAACAACACCAGCGAGTGTCAGATTTTGTTTTCTGCGTGACTACATACGTGTTGAATGCTGATTATCTCAGCTTTCAACAGTACTATTTCCCATTATACTTCGTTAAGATTGCCGAAGCAGCGTGCATGTGAAAACGGCTTAAAAAATAGCGTTAAAATTCTCGTTTCTATTTCAGTTAAAAACATTACTTACACTTGAGAAAACTATTCGCTTGTTTTCCAAGCAATGAAAATTTGTCGAGATCAACAAAGGTCGACTGATTTCATCAGTTATTACATTTTCAATACATCTCAGATCAAATACTATAATCAATATGAACAGTCACATAACCCATATACCATGAAATTTTGACAGCTTGATAAACACATTTAATTATACCTTTCGTTTACTTGTTAAATTATATATTCTCAAGTATTTAATACAAATTTATGTTTATGTGTATAGAACACATTTCATCAATATTCTAAAACACGAATCGTCTCATTTTCTCAGTCAACAACAGAAAAGTGGCGCATCGCCACTTAATTCTGGTCTTGAGCCTAGACTAATGAGATGATTATTGTTGTCCTCCATTCGCAAGCTATTTTAAAACAAAAAAATCTTCGATCTCATTATTATTCAAGTTCACACCTTTAAACTATCGTCGCTGAAGCTTATCTTAATTACATAGTAAATCGATGTCTAATTCAAGACGAAATGAATATCGAAGAAAAGTGTAACCGAAACGAATTTCTTATTGTTGTGAGAAATCAATGCATACTTTGAACTTCTCTACTGGTGGTAGTTCTGTGATGATCAATCTAATGTCTAGAACATCAACATCATCAAAACAAAAAAACGAATCCTTGTGTGAGAAAAGCAATCAGATGACTTAATCTTTATTCTTTTATGTTTCAATCCTCGCAGCATGAAACAAATCGTGTGAAGATAATTACATTTTTTTATTTGTATTTTTTTTTTCGAAAGAACACCGGATCAATAAAAAATGAAACAAAAATTCTCTTCTTTATACAATAGGTTCATTAAAAGCAATAAGAACTTTTTTATCTAATTGTAATGGTTGAATTGCATGATGATTTGTTCGATAGTTTAATAGATTAATTGTTAGACTGATCAATGTTAATGAATGAAGTAAAATAATAATTAAAACAATGTAGAATGAATAGGATATATTAATTAAATGGATATAATCTAGTGTTGTTTGCCAAACAAGATAAATCATCACTGATAAAGATAGATATGTAAGAATGGTCGATGCGAGAAGTGAAAAAAGTGAATTTAATAGTGAATGTGAACGGCGACGAAGAAGAAGAATAATTAACCAAAGAATACCGCTCAAATCGGCTAATAATACCGAAATAAATGAAAGAATTTGTAAAGCTAATAGAACGCGACCTTAAGTAAAAACAAAAAACCGTAAAAATAATGTTGCTTTTTTAGATTCATTTTCTTACCTTCTGATGTTTCAAGTTGTGGTTCAACAATTAACCACGATGATGATATTGATCGAGCTCGCCAAAGACCAACTTGAAGTGTTTCCGATGACCACCAATATGGTAATAGCATAGCAATAGTTGTTAATAAGGTGGAAAATGGAACAGTTATCAGAAACATATTTTGTATAAAAAACATCATTTTCGTTTTCTTGCTTGAATGAAATTTATGAAGTGTTCACTCATTCTTCTTTATACGTATGTACAAATTTTTCTTCTTTTTTCTCTCTCTCTCTCTCTCCTTCTCTCCCACGATATCAGGTAGCCAATGCAATACATATTGTGTGAACACCAATTGACGATTCTTCCTGTTCGTGAGAAAGCATCGATCGTATGCGAATGTGTCAATGACATTCAATCACTTTGCTATGGATATTTACACACGTATTTGTACACATATGAATTGTCATGAAAGATGAGAAGGAGTTTCATATAATGAACAAATTGATATTATTTTATTGACGAATCATCAAGAAATTTTATCAGCGAAAAAGAAAATTTACTGAAAAGGAGAGTTTCACATCGAATTGTCCGCTTTTTCGATATGAACTCAACTAGATTATATTTTGTTGCTGCTGACTTTTTTTTATCAATAACATGCCGTTGTGCGCCACAAGGACATTAAATTTCAACTTGAAAAATCTTACAGCTATGGGAACAGCGCTGTTTTTTTTATCACAAATACAATTCGATATTCTGATTTAAGAAAAAGAATAGATCAAATAACTTCAGACGTTTTACGATAAGTTATTCTCCTTCAGGCTTGTTTCAAGTGCAAGTTGAAGCATCGGTTGTCCTTGTACTTCTGACGGAGATGATAGCGGTGTTGTATTGAAATATATCGTGAAATTGAAATTTGCCTTCAGTAGTAACTGATCCATTTGAACTCTATTCGTAACTCCTAAAAGTTAACATAGCAGATATGCTTTCAGTTCAAAGGAGGAAAACGATAATTCTTTGTGTTCATCTCAATCAGGAATGTGTTTTAATACGGTATTAATGGAATAGATTATCTATTAGAAAAAGAATTATTTTAATTCTTTCTTGTTTGCAGGTCTTTGAGTCGTCGTAAGGTTGTGAGAAAAATTTTGAACTCTAAATTTTCCACATCATTTCCAGGGCCGATCTTGAATGTGTTTACCACTGTATTAATAATTGTAAAACATTTATCCTTTGATGCATAGTATTGAACCCGTTGTGCCCTTTTCCCTTAAAGTATAATAACAATTAAATTGTTAGATTCTTACCAGCTATGTTTCTTTATGATCTTATCTTTACCTATGGCATTATCTTGCAGTGAATATGAAATATACACTGGCATATTATTGAAATTTATAAGCTAGTCCATGTCAATTAGAATCGAGCTTTGCCAACTTAAGTTATATTTCAAATTTTCATCTAAGGAAATTCTCCGTGAGCTTCCACGCAATCTATTTGAACAAACATTTCGTTGCAGATAGCGTTAGCGTATGTTAATATCTATTGAAGTACTATTAATTATGTAGAGTATCTTTGTTACTTCTGTCTCTTTAATCAAAAGTGTATGCCTTTTGTTTTCATGTATTGACTCATCATGTTAAGGGCAAAAAAGCTTAGCTATTCAAATTGATAAAAATTGAGTCAAGACATTTTTATTGCGTTGTATAAATTTCTGTTTAGTATTATACAACACATGATTCTCTACTAAACGATATTTAACTCATTTTTTTTTGAGTGAAAATATGGTTATTCATCTATAGATGTAGGATATACTTCGAATTATCCAGAGATCTAAACAGTAACTTCATTGAACAATTCAGAAAAAATGAAATAATTAATTTTGCTAATATAATACTGTTTATTTTTTAAATTTAGGCGACGAAACAAGATTTATAATACTATCAAAAAGTTATAAATGTAATTGTTGTGAGATTGTGATGTGAAACATGCTTTGATGCGTTGTGAGCAATCGTAAGGAGATTCATGTATTGTATCTATTTTCGGATTTATTTGTTCACTATTTATTTAATGAATCCTCAGGAGATAAAAAATAATGAGACGCTCATTTATCAAGACAAGATGTAATTGAAATACTGCGTTTTGATCGTATATGAAAAAAGTGTCTTTGGAAGGGAGTCGATCAAATATTTTTATCTCTATCATTCAGCACTCATATTAGAAGATTCTTTTTTAAATGTTACTACTCTAGTGTCAATCATTAGACAATGATGTGATGACAACATATGCATCATTTTGTTTGGTTGAAAGAACTTCCTTTTCGACAACTCTTTAAGTAATTCAATTTTTCTGTGGTGACTTTGTCGAAGAACAGGTGCATGAAAAGAACCATTTAAATATTCATAAAATTGCATCATTACAACGAAGAGTAACTAAGTTCCATGTTTTAAGTATCAGCCAAAAAAAATGACTAAGCAACTGCGCATATATTTGACGTAGTATGAAAGATTAATGAAAAAATAGGAAATATGATCTTTTTGTTCTATGTTGAGTTTCTTATTAAAACAATGGGATTTCCAGAGCGTGATAATAGTTTCCAGACCACTAACGCACAATCTCATTAAATAATTGTTCCTGGAACATTTTGAAAAATCAGTGCAGTCAGTGATTTTCGCTTCAGAGATTTCACAAGAGGAAGAGAACCTCGCACTTTCAATCTGCAATGCTGTTAACGGCACTTTGGTAGAATAAATTTGACGATCCTGATCTTTTCCTACATCTATCAGTATATTTTACTCTTGAAAAAAAAATAGTTGGACTCAAAGTACTTCTTGTTCAATGACTTAAACTCCCCGTATATACTCATCACAAGAGGTTTTTTACTTTATGTCAATCAAATGGATAATCCGATGTAATACAGTCGTCAGTGACATATCGAAGGCCATTTCATAATAAATGCAAGCGAGGTTGGCACATCATATCTTTTAGAGCTTTGTTAAATATCTTAAATATTCAGTAATAGCGACCTTAAGTTTATCAGTGACTTAAAATTTGCTGCTTCAAGAAAGAAATAGTAACATGTAGAGGTTGTCAGGAGCATTTGTATCATATGCATGAGGGCACTTTTTTAATGGCTTCTTTTTCATTTTCACTGTTATTGCTTGTTCGAGTATTTGTGTCTATTTAACATGGAGCACTCACTCAAAATCAGGCTTTCTACACAGATAAACAAGACCAGCGAATAAATGAAAACAATTATATATGTTTTATAGAAAACATCCTCAAGTTGCGTGATTATCTTTTCCCTACATTTCTAAGATGAGAGAAGCATATGAAAAAGGTTAATGTACGTATGTCATGGGAGTAGCAAAAAGCTTTCATTTTATTTTTACTTTAACTGACGATATGAAGTCTAAGTGACAATAATGAATATCAGAATTCTTCAAATAATGACCAGTACAATTGAAAAGAAGTAGACACCATTATCCTCGAGTATACAATTAAGAGTTTCTTTTTATTGAAGCTCAATGGCTGTTTAAGAAGTCTATTCAATATCTTGAAACATGCATGCCAAGCACGGGTTCTATGTAAAATTGCAGTAATTATGTGCCTTTCAAAAAATAAGGACGTATTAGAATAATTCTTGGGTACCTGTGCTACCTTTGTTACGCGACAAATGTGAACTACAAAGAAATTATCATGAATACATGAATGAATTCATATCGACATAGAATATCCGGGCAATTATTAATAGCGAAGTATTTTTTTATAGGCTCTTTAATTATCTTACAGATTAGGAGTATTTTGCATAATATTCGTCAATAGGTGGTCATTAAGGAGACAAAAAATAAAGACATACTAAAAGAACCGATGGAAAAGTTAAATCCATCTAAATAGTATTTCATTGGCTACGGTCTATTGAAAGTTGACAACGCCATTTCCAATCCACAATAGTGTTTATTAAATAATTTATCCATTTCAAGATTTTTCAGAGTAAACATAGAGATAAAAAAAAGCGGCTTATTCAATATTTTACAGCATAAAAAGATTAGATTTTTATTAGTTTGCTCTAAGGAGTGGGCGAAAAGCAAATGTAGTAATAGTCGTAGTAGTCATGGTGCTACTAATAAGCTTCTATAAGGAGGAGTTTCATATTGTGGTAAACTCAACTTTGGTCGACAGTAAAAATGTCGACAGCTAAAAATGTCGAAAGTAAAAATGTCGACAGTTAAAAATAGCGAAAGTGCAAAATGTCGAAAGAAATTTATAAAAATAAAATTAAAAAATCTAAAAGAAGGAGTGTTTTAAAAGATATTCGATGAATATGTTATTATTGTAGGCAGTGGCGGATCTACCAGT